GGTAGATGTTACATTTCAGTGCATGGCAATTCATTTCTTGAACATTGTATCATAAATGTAATAATAAATAGTGCTTATCAGTGCAGAATTCTTAATAATCTAAATTATTGGTTCTCTGATGTGCCTTCAGTTGACCTTGACTTGTGGCAACCCTCTACTAGGGTTTATTTAAAAGAGATTCACTAGTGTCTTCTTCCACTCATGATTGAGTGGGGATTTGATTCTCCATCTCCCTTAGTATTAGTCCAGCACTGAAACCTAGACAGAGGACAAGAGGCTACTATCAAGATAAATTGTGGAAAATGGAATTGTTTCAATATGGCAGTGGGGTCAGATAAATCTGTTGAATATATTCTATAAAACAGGACTAGATTCAGAAGAGCGAAGCATGAAAATTGGAGGAAATAACATTGCAATTTAAGATACGCACATGATACCCTACTGCTAGTAGAAAATAATGTAGACTTGGAAGGCTTACTGAAGGAAGTCAAGGAATAAAGTGGCTAGGAAGATTTACAGTTGAACAAGAAAACCAAAATAATGACTACAGATAGAAGGAACTAGACAAGCTCCTAAGAATACCAAATTTAGGACTGTCCATGCTTTCATATTTCTAATTTTTGTATATAGTTGTGGAAACTGAACAGTGAAGGATGATGATAATAGGAAGGAGATTAGCTCACGTCATGTGTGATGTTGGGAGTTCTGTAAATACAGGGTGAGGCAGCATAACTTCATTTTTTCAAAACTTAATAAAACCCATTGTATGAATCACAATTTTTTTTATAATGTAGGCACATAACTAAAGTTTTTGTTTTACGTAGTTTTGAAGATCAAATTAGGTAGGTGACGTCCCCCATTCTCCATCCTCCATACACTGAGTAAACCGATTTCTGGCGTTTGACATAATTCTTGCCAGCATAGCAGGCGTTATGTTGGCAATTTCTTCCTGGATGTTGGTCTTCAAATCTTGTAGGGTCCTTGGACAATACACATAAACACAGAATTTCAAAAAAAAAAAAAAAAAACCTCATAGAAAAAAAATCACAAGGGGCCAAATCTGGAGAGCGGGCCGGCCACTCCAAATCCGCTCTAAAAGTAGGCCTCAACAGCAAAAGCATACTCCTCTCTGTTCCAACGCATGATGGTGACTGAACTGTGTCAGGACAAAACTCATACTCCTGCCTCTCGAATGAGACCACTAGCGCTCCGCTATGTCTTCAACCGACTGAATGGCTTGCATTTTAGAAAAGGAAGTTATGCCGCGTCACCCTGTACTGTGGACTGCCAGACAGAGAAACCAAGCTTGACCTCTTCCCTAGAAGATGGTTGTACTTCGGACATATCACGAGAAGACGTGACTCACCAGAAAAAAACAATAATTTCAGATTGAGAAACTCCATTAAGAAAACCAGGGCTGTTGATGATGTTGGACTTGGAGGTCTCTCATTTGTAGTGTTGAAGTCACAAAAATAGTAATGGCTTCATTTCATTATTAAGTAAGTCCCAGTTATCTCATTTTGTGAAAGTACTAATCGTTCCCCTCCCCTGTTTTCAAACACTCACCTGTGGGGAGAGGATACTTATATTCTTGATAGACTCGGTCTAACTTGAATGAAATCATTCTCCTCTTTGGTGATTTATTTGCAAGTTTCCAGAATTCAGTTATTGTTCTGTGCAGTTCCATGAAACTTCCTGTCAAGAAATAGCGATGTCTTGGTGACCTGTCTTCTTTAGCTTTGGGCTAGAGCTCCACCAAGTGATCTTTCAGCACGATACATTTTCTTTCAACAAAAACTAAGCTGATTATGTTTTAGCATCCCTTAGTGGCAATCTGGATTTTAGCTGCTTCTCCTGGTTTAGAGTTTCAGCAGCCTGGCATTTCGTTTCCTTTACAGTGCTCCAGGTTGATGATTTGGAGTCCAACATTAGGCAACGCTCCGACATTTGTGTATCATCTTCGGTTTGGGAATTGTTTCAGGACTTGCAGCATGTTGTGATTCACCAGTAGTTGCCATGGCATTATTTTACACAGAAATTGGAGATTAATATCATAGTCTTGTTGGCACTGTTCATTTCTCCAATTCAGTTTGCTTTGTGTTTTCAGTCATTAGAGAATAAACATCTTGGTTTAACCTGAATAGCTCATTCCAGTGAGAAGATAACTATTGAATCCATTGCACTAGTGAGTTTTGTATAGTTGGGATTAGGAATTTCTTTCAGTTCTTATTTTATACAGTGCAAGAACATAGTAAATCCTGATTTGATTTTGGCATGTGTAAAATATTTACTTTTCCCTTCTGGACAGAGGTTACAGTTCTTGTTTAAAAAATCTGTTTTACTCGTGGAGAGATTCATACATGATACAACTGGTTAAACAACTAAAGTATTTTGTTAGTGACCAAAACGCTACCAAATTACTTTGTAAACTACAGAAAATGCTTTCTTTTCTGTATTGTAAAAAGCAATTAGCTTATCTATAGAAGTAACATTTTAAAAATAAGCATCCTGGTCTTTTTACTGAAAATTTAAGACTAAGTAGCCAATTTTGGAACATACAATAAAAGCATAGGAGAACTGAGGGAAAAGATAAAGGGAGAATTCAGAAAAGGAAATCTCATTAATGTTGCAAGTGTATACAGTATATACACTTGCCACTTTGCTCCTTGTAGCCATATGTGTAGCTACATGCATAAGGTTTAAAACACAGTTTCTACATTTGCTAAAAGGTTACATTCACACAAATTTCTACAGAACATTGTAGCAGTGGTTTGGAATGGAAAAACTGGGAAATCACAATATTAGGATGCTTTACAAAAAGAAGGTAACTCTGTTACCCCAGGAAGCTAAAATGCAGTATGCATAACTTAACTTGACAGAAAAGTGTTGTGTTTAATCTCAATGTATGAGATTTAAAGACAAGGATGCTGGATCGCAGTGGGGTAAACTGCTGAGCTGCAGAACTTACTCATGGGAAGGTCAACAGTTCAGATTAGTGGATGGGATGAGCTCCCATTGTTAGCCCCAACTTCTCCCAACTTAGCAGTTAGAAAACATGTAAATGTGAGTAGATGAATAGGTACCGCTTCGGTGGGAAAGTAACACTGCCGGCCGCATGACCTAAGAGGTGTCTATGGACAACGCCAGCTCTTTGGCTTAGAAATTGAGATGAGCACCATCTGCCAGAGTCGGACACGATTAGACTGAATGCCAGGGGAAACCATTACCTTTTCATAGGGGATGTTGTGGTGAATGAATGTGGTGATGGTGAATGAACAGAATCAATAGGACTAAGAAATCTAAATACATTTTTCTAAATAAGAATAATACAAAGACGCACACACATTATAAACATGTTTTTTAAAGGTTGAGCAAGATTACCATCCTGCTGAAATCATTAAAACAAAATAAGGTGATTTAAATATTAGAAGACAAATATTCAAAACCTTGTTGCACGGTAAGAGATTGGTGTGTGTATGTGTGTGTGAAGAAACACGGATGGGTACCTGTTTCTGAATACCCGAAAAAACCCAAATTTTGTTTGATCTTGGAAGCTAAGGTGTTGTTGGCTGCATTTCAGAGGAATGAGCTGGCAAAACCAGTTCTGAATGTTTCTTGCATATGAAATTAATGAGGTTGCTTAAGTTGACAGCTGGCTTAAAGCCATTTTGTTTTCTATTAAATTGCATAAAGTTGCAAAAAAGTATTAAGTCAAATAGGTAAATTTGAAAGTGGGCAACTCTGGGAGACCTTCAAGGTATACACTTGCTGTCAGCCGGCCTGAGTCCCTCTACGGAGGTAGAGAAGATTGGGATATAAACGTTTTAAATAAATAAACAATCAAATAAACAATACACATAATTACACATAAATAACTCAGACGTGAAATGTTTACTTTTAATTATAATAATTAATGCCTTGTGATTAAAATTGTTTCTTTGTGGAGGTGTTTGTAAAAAATGCAACTACTTTAGTGGGTCTTGGTGTCTGCTTCTCTAAGCATAGTATATCATTCTCGTGTTAGATCGGGCTTTTGTTTGCACGGGTTTAGCACAATTGAAAATATTGGTTTTGTTATCATCTATTCTAGATTCTGAGGATGCATCTACACAAGTGGTTCCCACCTATAGTCCGTGGACCACCAGTGGTCTACAAGAACTAAAATATGCTCTGTGGCCTCACCATTACTATACCGTTGCAACAAGAGTGACTGGTCCCGCAAAACCCTCTTATATTGTCGAGACTTATTAAATAAGGTTTTCTGTGGATGAGGAGATGGCGACTACTTGATAGCATATGTTCTGTATCAGAAACTAGAGCTGATGTGATCTATCCAATGCAATTTTCTGAATCAGCAACCCAAATAATGCAACCAAATCTAAAGTTGACCAAAAACTGATTCATAGCCTTTTTGATACTAGTGTTGGAGAGTACTAATGTTTGGTCTTTGGTTACAGTGGTCTCTGATCAAAGTGGTCCCTGGTCAGTGTGGTCCCTGGTCAAAGTGGTCCTTGGTCAGGTCGTCCCTGGTTTAAAAAAATGTTGGGAACCACTGATCTACACTATAGAATGGATGCAGTTTGACATATTTTCAAGTTCTGTGGCTTCAGCATGGGAGTTGAAGTTTTACAGAGTCTTCAGATTTGTCTGCCAGAGAGTACTGGTGCCTAACCGGACTACAATTTCCACAATTCTCTAGCATTGAACATAGCATTAGTTCTGCATTGTGGATTCACCACCAGAAGCGTCTTGCTCATTATTGTTGATAACAGGACTCTTGATAAAAGAAATTGACTTTTTAGGGCTGTTCTTAAGAATAGGAGAAAATATCTAGGGATCTGCAATTTTGCTTCTTCATTTATGATAACTAAGCTGCATTTCTTGGTAAAGAAATTTTAGGAGATAACTATTTTTTTAAAGCAGACAAAAATACTTTGTCAGAGCAACCCAGATCAGAAGATACTTTTTACAGGAAGTTAACCATTGGTTTGTTTTAACAGGTGTGGGCTGCTACACAAATAGAAGAAAGTGAAAAGTAAGCACATTTATCACCTACATCTACTTTTCGAATGTATTTCTAACATCTGTGCTCCAGAAGATGATAAAGAAATGATAGCAGCTCAAGAACCAACAACCAATTTTGCCCTTATTCAGTAAGTAACAGAAATTATGAAATTATAATACTTCAATAATCTTATTTATTTATTTATTTATTTCCTAGTATTAAAGATGGAAAATGACATTACATAGCAGATTTAGTTTGTAATCTGTATTAACTTGGAAATCAAAGCATATTTTCATTATCAACCAATTTATAGTATTGGATTCAACTTTTTGCACGTGATTTGGGAGCTACTTCCCAAGTGTGAAAGGAATTTTAATTTTGCTCCAGATTACTTTATTATGCATAAGTAATAGTGCAATTATTTTAGATAAAATTGTTTTTCAATTGCAAGGTTCTGACTAAAAATCCAAACATTATGTTTTCAGGGAGTCTGAAACACATTTTTCTTCTGATACCGATTTTGAAGATATTGAAGGAAAAACTCCGAAACAGGGAAAAGGAAAGGTATGTATTTCTGAAATTCTGATAATTTTATTTAAAGTTAGTGGTATTGAAGTATTATATTATTGAACTAAAAAAAGTATCTATGTGCAATCCTCCTGTGTGCATGCATAGGTTCTGAAGAGGTTTCATGTAGTGTGGTGGTCACAATGTAAAGTTGATTTTTTTAATGTACTTCAGATGGTCCAAAGGTCTTGGAGGCAGCTTCCTTAGAAAGATGACTATGAAAGGGAATCCAAAAGTCACTTAAACATATAAAAATATTCTTTCTTGGCTTTTGTGACTAAACTTTGTTTTGGTGAATATGAACTTAACACCGATGCTTATAAGCTGCCCCATGTTGCAGCAGCTCCACTGGCTGCCGGTCTGCTTCTGAGCTAAATACAAAGTGCTGGTCATTACCTATAAAGCCCTTAGGTTTGGGTTCAGGCTCTTTGTCCAAACACATCTCCCTACATAGTCCATCCCATGTACTGCAGTCAGCAGAGGAATCCCTGCTCTTGGTCCCACCCCTGTTACAAGCTCGGTTGATGGGAACGAGAGAGGGGGCCTTATCTGTGATCGCCCCCTGTCTCTGGAAGTCTTCCCCCCTTTCTCTCCTTTAAAAAAAACTTTTGAAGACATACATTTGCACTTTGGCATATGGAGAGGAGGAGGACTAGGACCCTCTAGACAGTGGTTCTCAACCTGGGGGCCCCAGATGTTTTTGGCCTACAACTCCCAGAAATCCCAGCCAGTTTACCAGCTGTTAGGATTTCTGGGAGTTGAAGGCCAAAAACATCTGGGGACCCCAGGTTGAAAACCTCTGCTCTAGATCAATTGGAATGATGGCTGACCTACTTGTACCTCGTGGCTACTTTGGTACACTTCAAGAACAACTATAATCAGCCAAATTCCATTTATTTTAATTATTTTTATCATTTGAGATGTTGTGATGTTGACTATGTGATTAGCATAACTTGCTTCAATGTGATTATTTGTATCTTGTTTTTCGTGTTGAAGTCAATTTTTATACAATAAGTTCACGGTAATTATTATGTTTATTATATTGCATTATTTTAATTGTTTGATTTTGTTTTGCATTTGGGCATTGAATGTTTGCCTTTTTGTATTGTAAACCGCCCTAAGTCCCTTCAAAGAGAGAGGGCAGTCTATAAATAAAGTTGCTGTTGATGTTATTATTGTACTAGCTGTCCCCTGCCATGCGTTGCTGTGGCCCAGTCTGTTGATCTGGAAAATAAAGTAATGAGAAAATGTTGGTTTCTAATATATGTAATTTTTTATACTTGTGGGTAAACTGTATTTCTTGCTGTTTCTTTGTCAGTGTGGATGTGGAGAATGTCTGGTTTGCCCACCCTGGAACATGTAACATATTGTCCTTCTTTAAGGGTCCCTTTCAAATCTATGATACTATATGTCTGTGTGTGTGAGAATCATATCTATCTATCTAGTATCTATGGCTGGATGGCTCTTTGTCAGGAGGACTTTGATTACCTTTTCTTGCCCTGATGAAGGGAGTCGGATTGGATGGCCTTAAGTATTTTCTGTTGGTCATGGGGGTTGTTTGTGGGGTTCAGAATGCTCTTTGATTGTAGGTGAACTGTGAATCCCAGTGACTACAACTCTCAAATGTCAAGTTCTATTTTCCCCAAACTCCATCTGTGTTCATATTTGGGTGTATTGAGTGCTTGTGCCAAGTTTGGTCCAGATCCATCATTGTTTGAGTCCACAGTGCTCTCTGGATGTAGGTGAACTACAACTCCCAAACTCAAGGTCAATGCTCACCAAACCCTTCCAATATTTTCTGTTGGTCATGGGAGTTCTGTGTGCCAAGTTTGGTTCAATTCCATCATTGATGGAGTTCAGAATGCTCTTTGATTGTAGGTGAACTATAAATCCCAGCAACTACAACTCCCAAATGACAAAATCATAATTTTTGAGTGATGGTCACTCCTTGTGTTGTGAGACATTTTGTTGCCAAATTTGGTGTGATTTCGTTCATTGGTTCTTTTGTTTTTAAGGTACTCATTATGCACAGAGCATTTTTATATATATATTAATTAATTAATAAATAAATAAACCTTTGCCATAATTAATCACAACGGTCCTTTCAGACTATAGAGGTATGGCTGGTTTCCACTTGAATTGTCCTGGCTGCATTCTGTGGAATCCTTGTGAATTCTGAATTACTCACAAAACTACAAATATCACAATTCTGTACCATGGAACCATGTCACTTAAAGTGGAATTTGTGTGCTGTAATAGTGTAGTATGAAAAGGCCCTAAAAAGAACTGGAAAAATCTAGGGAAACCATATTGCCAAAATCTTTTTGGCATGTCTAATGTTTAAATTAATCAGAATACTTCAGGCCTCGGTACAATTTAATGTGTAATATTGTGCTAACAAAAACATTGGCTCTTGATTCTTGTATAGACTTGTAAGAAGGGGAAGAAGCCTGTAGGAGAGAAGGGGAAAGTTGGAAACGGAGGAGGGAAGCCCGGTGGTCCAAATCGAATGAATGGGCATCACCAGCAGAATGGTGTGGAAAACATGATGCTCTTTGAAGTTGTTAAAATGGGCAAGAGTGCTATGCAGGTAAGTTTTAGAGGTCTTAAAATTGAGTGTCGAAAGATCTGAAATCAGCGGAGTCAAAGATAACGTCTATAAAACTGAAATGGTCCAAAAGCTGTCTACCTTAAGGATATTACTGATTGCTGAATTTATAAAATAAATATGGGTTGTGTTGTCGAAGGCTGTGAGTTGGGTTGCTGTGAGTTTTCCGGGCTGTACGGCCATGTTCCAGAAGCATTCTCTCGTGACGTTTTGCCCACATCTATGGCTGGCAGTTTGTGAGGATGCTTGCCATAGATGTGGATGAAATGTCGGGAGGGAATGCTTCTGGAACATGACCGTACAGCACAGCAACTCACTAAATATGGGTTGTTGTGAGTTTTTTGTGCTCTATGGCCATGCTCCAGAAGCATTCTCTCCTGACGTTTCGCCCACATCTATGGCTGGCAGTTTATAAAATAAATATGGGTTGTGTTGTCGAAGGCTGTGAATTGGGTTGCAGTGAGTTTTCCGGGCTTTACGTCCTTGTTGCAGAAACATTCTCTCCTGACGTTTCGCCCACATCTATGGTTGGCAGTTTGTGAGGATGCCTGCTATAGATGTGGATGAAATGTCAGGCAAGAACATGGCCGTACCTCACAGCAACTTACTAAATATGGGTTTCTGTGAGTTTTTTTGCCTCTATGGCCATGTACTAGTAGCACAGAGAGATTGGGAAAGCTATGGACTACTACTGGAACATGGCCACACAGCCCGAAAACTTTACAGCAACCCAGTGATTCCAGCCATGAAAGCCTTCGACAACACAAATAATATTCTTTACATGTCTGGATAGAATACAGTACTGTATGGAATGCCAAACCATGCTTTAATTGGACTTTGGAAAAGTTACTTTTACGACTATTCTGGCTGTAGAATTTTAAAGGTCTGTGTTATAGTAAAAGAATGATCTGCAATAAATGGTGTGTGAACCCTCTTCAATTTTGGTGAGAGATTCTCATCTTCCACTGTATCGGCATCTCTGAATCCTAAATTATGGATAATTTTCTTAAAGTAAATCAACCTTATAGACCTTGCCATAAAACCTAAACAGTGAAATAAGACTTCTTTTCCCCTTCTGACTCACTTTTTGCAACTTGGGGCAAATTGTTTTAAAGATATGTACGAAATGTTTGAGGTGGATGTTCTTGTTACTAATAATGGCTTCTTTCCCCCCTAGTCTGTGGTGGATGACTGGATAGAATCCTACAAACATGACAGGGATATAGCACTTCTTGATCTCATCAACTTTTTTATCCAATGTTCAGGATGCAAAGGTAAGGTTGCATTTTGGAACTGCTATTTCCTTTGGGATTCTGTGGGCATGTAACTCCCCCCCCCCCCCAAATATGACAAGTCTTAAGTTACTGATTTCTGCTCTCTCTTAACTTGTAGGGGTTGTAACAGCAGAGATGTTTCGGCATATGCAAAATTCTGAAATAATTCGAAAAATGACTGAAGAATTTGATGAGGTAAAAATGCTCAGATATTTTTAAAAACAGAAATGATTTGTGACATATATTGTTTTGTGACTTATATTGGTGTGTGATATAAATGTTTGTGATTACATGTTTGAACTGTGATAAGCACTTTGGGGAGTATTTATTTATTGTGTTAGAAGCAAATTGATGATACAATATTTAAAAACACAAAGTTAAAAGCTTGGCATTATACTAGATTTCCTTTGAAGCAGATGCCATCTAAATTTAATTATCCTATGTGTTAAATGGAGCCCCTGGTGGTGCAGGGGAGTGGGGTGAGCTCCTGCTGTTAGCCCAAGCTTCTGCCAATCTAGCAGTTGAAAAACATTCAAATGTGAATGGATCAATAGGTACCGCTTTGCTGGGAAGGTACCAGTGCTCCATGCAGTCATGCCGGCCACATGACGTTGGAGGCGTCTACAGACAATGCCGGCTCCCCAGCTTGCACCAACCCCCCAGAGTCAGGACACGACTAGACTTAATGTCAAGGGGATACTTTTACCTTTACTTTCTATCTGTTAAATACTAATAAACTTTTATTTATACCCTGCCACCATCTCCCATAGGGACTCAGGGCGGTCTACAGATCACACAGTGGTGCCATACAACATATAAAATACAATATTACAACATTAAAACCAATAACACTTTTAAAACTAAACATAAAATTAAAAACAGCAATAGAATCAATAAAATATAACAATATTCGCTAATTAAAAGATCCATACAATCAATTTGGAGTCTCCGGTGGCGCAGTGGGTTAAAGCACTGAGCTGCTAAACTTGTTGACTGAAAGGTCGCAGGTTCGAATCCGGGGAGCGGCGTAAGCTTCCACTGTCAGCCCCAGCTTCTGCCAGCCTAACAGTTCGAAAACAAGCAAATGTGAGTAGATCTGGCGGGAAGTGAGTAGTAATGGCGCTCCATGCAGTCATGCTGGCCACATGACCTTGGAGGTGTCTACGGACAACCTTGGCTCTTCGGCTTAGAAATGGAGATGAGCACCAACCCCAATAGTTGGACACGACTGGACTTAATGTCAGGGGACAAACTTTATCTTACCTTTAACCTACAATCAATTTAGCTTTCCCTGGCTAAAAGTAGTAGTCTGGCTGCAGACTTAAAGAAGTGGTGAGGCCTTCAGATGTTAATAGATTACAACTCCCAGCATTTTGCACAATCTTAACAGTGTCTTGGGGAAAAGGTTTCACATGGCCCCAGGCAGGAGCAAAGTAATATAGAAGATTTGTAACTTTACTCACAGTGTACATATTCTGTGTTTTAGGATAGTGGGGATTACCCACTTACCATGGCTGGTCCCCAGTGGAAGAAGTTTAAGTCGAGTTTTTGTGAGTTCATTGGGGTCTTGGTCCGGCAGTGTCAGTACAGCATCATCTACGATGAATATATGATGGACACCGTCATTTCGCTACTTACAGGATTATCCGATTCTCAAGTCAGGGCATTTCGACATACTAGTACACTGGCAGGTATGTCTTGGTCGTTCTGTGGTTGTGGTTTCATTTAACATGAAATTAGTCTTAAACGTTATTGTGTTTTCCAAATATTACTGAATTTGGATTATGTTTGAAAGGCCGATATGAGTGTTGCTGTGGGCAGACGAAAGTGTGGGCACACTAGGTGCTTTGCTTGATTCACAAAGACCATTTTGTGGTCTGAAATCCCACCCATGACATTTTATTTTCCTGGAGACCATTGTTTTGTGTTAAAATAGGAGTTCATGCTTCTCCAGTGCCAAAAAGGCACCAGGAAAAAATAAAAAAGAAAGAAAAGAACAAAAAAAATCAATATTCAGGAGATTTAGGATATTGGTTTCTTCATGATTTTTCAGCTTTTGTCATTTTTTTTTTGGTCACCAAATATAATTCCATCTCTTCCTTCTTCCTTGTCCTTCTAGCAATGAAGCTGATGACTGCATTAGTAAATGTGGCATTGAATCTAAGCATTAATATGGATAATACGCAAAGGCAGTACGAAGCAGAACGAAATAAAATAATTGGAAAACGGGCTAATGATAGGTTGGAGCTTTTGCTACAGAAACGGAAAGAGGTGAGCATCTTGGCTATTGAATTACACATATGAGGGAATTAGGGGAGTCCTGTTTGTTAAAAAGTAGTTTTGCAAAAGCTTCTGTAGCATGAATAAAAGTACATGGGAGCTTTACCTGTATGCATATTTCCTTGACGGGTGCAAAGAAATGCCTTCTGTGGCTCTGTCTCTAATCTGCTTGTCTATGTTGGAAATAGCAACCTTCTACAAACCTCCTATATTAGTTATTTGTTATATATGTGATTTAGATTGCTTACTATATTGTATATGTGTGTATCGGTATGTAATTTTTCCTTAACTCTATGTTGTTTGAGGTCGTGAGAGGGCTGCAGACCACGTGACCAGATCTGGGACTATTCAGACTGAGACTCCATATTTAGAAGTCTGTATTGTATAGTCAGTTGTGTTTAGGTTGTGCTCTGTTTGCATTAAGAGAGTATGCATTAGACATAAGACAGAGAAGAGACGGCAACAGAATGCCTTAGAGAACTTACTGTTTAAACCTTCAAATGATAAGCAATGTACCTGTATGCTGAATACATTAAGTTTGTAAGTAAACAAACAATGTTTATTTTAACGAAGACTATTTACTTTTGTCTCTTGAAAGCATGTTTTAAAACCAAATATATTTTATGTTAGAGTAGATGTTTTCGGGCAACTGAAATAACACTTCTGAAGATCTGCTATATATTTTTGTGCATTGGCATAATCTTTTTTCCTAACCATTCAAAGAGATAACCAGGTGTATCAGTCTAACAACTGAGGAACCCAATTTGCCTTGCGTGAATACTACTGGATATATACTGCTAAAGAGAACATTCACTCAAACGAGTTTTTAGCTCTTCTCAGGAAGATCGTATTTTACAAAAAGGTTATGATCATTCCAAATGGTGTGAATGCCAATTAATTAATTAATTAATTAATTAATTTACTGTATTTGTATACCGCCTTTCTCAGCCATATCGGCAACTCAAGGCAGCAACTCAATTAATCTCTACAAGGTTACGCTTCCAAAAGGCTGTGGAGATTCTGGTTTTCCAAAAGGCTATGATCTCAAAGATCATCCCTTTCTCAAAAGTTGAATTGTTTCATTTAGCTTAAGAGTATTTGGATGAATGTAACCCATCGTCTAACCTTTCTTGAAAAAAACTTTGAGAATTGTGCTGCCTTTATTTTATTGACCTATTTCTTCATCTTCTTGTGTTTTTCAGCTTCAAGAAAATCAGGATGAAATCGAAAACATGATGAATGCAATTTTTAAAGGCGTATTTGTACATAGATATCGGTAAGTACAATCGGCCAGTGAAACAGTCAGAGCTTCGCTTGATGCATACCTACGTTTTCTTAATCTACTTCTGCTTTTCTTTATATTTCTCTCATTCCAGGGATGCAATAGCGGAAATAAGGGCAATATGTATTGAAGAAATTGGGATTTGGATGAAAATGTATAGTGATGCCTTTCTCAATGACAGCTATTTAAAATATGTGGGATGGACAATGCATGATAAGGTGAGGTCAAGAGAATGCAAGTTTACTAACGGACCAGAGAGCGAGACCAGTTAAACTATATATACTTTGGGTTGCTGTGAGTTTTCCGGGTTGTATGGCAGGGGAATTCCAGACAAAAATAAATTAAGGCCAGCTAACACCTTCCAACAAAGGACTCCCCAGGCAGCAACCAGCCAGCTTTGAAGCTGCAAGGCCACTTAATGCTAATCAAGGTGGTCAGTTACAACATTCACACTTGCCTAAAGCAGACAAGAATTCTTTCTGCCACCATGGACATTATTCCACAGATATATAAACCCCACTTGCCTAGTTTCCAACAGACCTCACAACCTCTGAGGATGGCTGCCACAGATGTGGGTGAAACGTCAGGAGAGAATGCTTCTGGAACATGACCATACAGCCCGTAAAAAAGCTCACAGCAACCCGGTGATTCTGGCCATGAAAACCTTTCTTTTATCTTTCAAACCAGTTCTTCAGATTCCCCACAATTTTTCTTTTTGTGTGTGAATTATTGTACACGTTTGGGGGGTAACTACATCTATTTTGCTGTTGTGAACCGCTCTGAGTTGCCCTGAGGGCTGAGAAGAGCGGTATAAAAATGTAGTAAATAAAATAAATATTTTGTTGAAAATGTGGGGTAGAATTGTGAAAAACATAATGTGATATGCTCAGTTTAATGTCATATGTGAGGCTGAAAAATAAGTTCTATATGTATTAAATCTTTGTTTTCTATTTTTTTTAGCAAGGAGAGGTAAGACTGAAATGTCTCACAGCTTTGCAAGGACTTTATTATAATAAAGAGCTTAATTCCAAATTGGAACTCTTCACCAGTCGGTTCAAGGTGAGCCTTTGTTTTCTGGCAAAGTCCTTGATTGCCATTTTTCAACTTTACATTTGTAACATTTTCCATTTTTCAAATTGCTTTCTTTTCCTCCCAACAGGATAGAATTGTATCTATGACTCTCGACAAAGAATACGATGTTGCAGTACAAGCAATAAAACTACTTACTCTTGTTTTACAGTAAGTTTTTCAGACACAAGCTAAATGCATGCAATCAACTTGTCTATTTCCAAATGTAATGACAGCGTGCCTTTTTTGTGTGATGCTGCTTTTCAGCATCATGAAAAGCATTTGTATTAAATAAACTAGCTAGGGAACCTGGCAATGCCCAGATAATTTGAAAAAAAAACCCTGCTTTTTTTAATTGTACAAAATGCATAAAGTTGTGGGTGAACTACAACACACATCATGCCAGGTTAACCCTGAAAAACTCCATCAGTACTTAAAGTTTGTTATGTTGGGCAAGTTTGCTCTAGATAACGCATGGGCAAACTTTGGCCCTCCAGCTTCAAAGACTGGCTGCTTTCTATCTGGGGGAATTCTTTGTTGGGAATTGTTAGCTGGCCCTGGTTTATTCTTGTCTCAAATTCCCATGGGCATTCCGTTAGCAACGTCTCTGCAGATGGGCAATCCTCTCACACCAGAAGCGACTTGCAGTTTCTCAAGTCGCTCCTGACACACACACACACAAAAACTTCCTTTAAAAGTATTTTGCTATGCTTTCTGTGTGGTGTTCCACTCAACAATCCAGCCTTGTGTTTTCTATTAGCGACAGCTTCCAAACTAAGCAACTTGAAGGTGTGCATTTATTTGCAAGTATGCACACACATGATCATTAAGACCTTAACGCAACTATCACCTTTTAAAAATGTAATTCATTGATATATTTTTAAAAAGGGAATCTTGAAAACCCTCCTTTCTTCCTTAGTATTCTGATTGCATTTCCATCCGTTTACATTTCCAGGAGTAGTGAAGAAGTACTGACTGCAGAAGACTGTGAAAATGTCTATCATCTGGTGTACTCAGCTCATCGGCCAGTGGCTGTCGCTGCAGGGGAATTCCTTTATAAAAAGTAAGGAGAAGCATTTGCATTCTTTTATGTTGGCACTAGGTTCAGAAGCATGCTGTATTGGGTTTACTGACATTCTTGTGAGTAAACTCAAGTGAAATCAGCAATTTCCAGTGAAATCAGCAATTTCCAGTATAAGCCTCTCCCATTGCTTTTTTAAAAAATTTCCCTTAGCAAGTTTTATCTAAACATGGGCAAAAGTGCACACATAAAAACTGAGGTCTTAATAGGAAATAAAGTTGCTATTTTTTTCCTTGTTTGGCAAGGCTTTTCAGTCGAAGAGAGCCCGAAGAAGAGGGAATCCTCAAAAGAAGAGGAAGGCAAAGTCCAAATGCTAACCTTGTCAAGACGCTAGTTTTTTTCTTTTTGGAAAGCGAGGTAAGCTTGAATATCTTTGTCTCTTTTATCGAGATAGTTAAGGGAATGATTTTTGCGGTTCTTTCTCTTTTCACTTGTTCTCAGCTTAGGAAGAATGGTCTCCAAGACCTAGTAATGTAGAAGTATCTGTGTGATAGTAATTTAATGCGACAGATAGAAGTATCTGTGTGATAGACTCGAAGTATCTGTGTGATATATTCAGTGTATCTGTGTGATATATTCCTTAACAATTGTTTACTGTATACATTGGTTATTAAAGCAGCATTCCCTGTTTTGGGGGAATTGAGTTCCCTACTTGGGCATCTTTGACAAAATCGATGCTTTAAGAATTTTCAAACAAATGCTGTTCCAGTTTAAATACATTTACAAAACAGAATGCTTAGATATACCTATAAATTCAAGTGTAAGCCGACCCGAATATAAGCCGAGGCACCTAATGGGAAAACTTACTGACTCCAGTGTAAGCCGAGGGTGGGAAATACAGCAGCTAGTGGTCAATTTCAAAATAAAAATAGATACCAATAAAATTACACTGAGTCATCAGTAGGTTAAATGTTTTTGAATATTTACATAAAACTGTAGCTTAAGATAAGACTCTCCAATTAAACAATTATTCTAACCTTCTTCAATGTAAATGTGCTTATGTATCCTTCCAATAATAATAAAGGCAGTAATGATAGAACAAAAGTAAATGTAATAATAATAAATACAGAAAAATAATAAATGTAATAATATTTATTTATTTATTTATTTACAGTATTTGTATACCACTCCTCTCAGCCTTCCAGCGACTCGAGGCGGTTTACAAGGCAAAATAATAGGGTAAAATAATGTAATAATAATAAATAGAGAGAAATAATACATGCAGTAATAATAATAATAAATAAAGTAAAATAATAAATGTGATAATAATAAAGGGTGTAAAATAATAAATGTGATAAGAACAATAATAAAGGGAGTAAAATAATAAATATAATAATAAATAGAGTAAAATAATAAATGTAACAACAATAATAAAAAATAATGTAATAATAATAGAATAAAAATAAATGTAATAGAAACAATAATAAAGGGAGTAAAATAATAAATGTAATAACAATAATAGAATAAAATAATAAATGTAATAATAGAGTTAAATAAATGTAAAAATAATAGAGTAAAATAATATATGTAACAACAATAATAAAGAAAAATAATAAACACAATAATAAATAGAGTAAAAAATAAATGTAATAGGAACAGTAATAAAGTGAGTAAAATAATAAATGTAATAACTAATAAATAGAGTGAAGTAATAAATGTTATAGTAGAGTAAAATAATACATGTAAAAAAATAATAATAGAGTAAAATAAAGTAAATGTAATAATATTAATAATAAATAGAGTAATATAAATGTAATAAAAATAATAATGGAGTAAAATAATGTAAATGTAATAATAATAATAAACAGAGCAAAGTAATAAATGTAATAAAAATAATAATAGCAGAGTAAAATGATAAATAACTTTGACTCAAGTATAAGCCATGGAGAGCTTTTTCAGCCTAAAAAATGGGCCGAAAAACTTCGTTTATACTCGAATATATATGGTAACTTTCAAAGTTTTGAGTCTTTGTTATACATTTGAGTAACATGAAACAGTTTCTTGGCTATTGCCCATCATTTCATTCCCAGCATTTTTCCTAATTTAAAATTACAAACCGTAGGCACCAGGACTGTTTGTCCTGTTGCAGGTTGAATAGCACTCGGGCATTTTTGGTGCTTAAGGGCTTTGTGCATATTAACTCACTTGACAAAATGTAAAACACAGCTCCATCTTTTTTAGTTACACGAGCATGCAGCGTACTTGGTTGACAGCATGTGGGATTGTGCAACTGATCTCTTGAAAGACTGGGAATGTATGAATAGTCTTCTGTTGGAGGAGCCACTCAATGGAGAAGAACGTAAGATTTCGTTGTGTTTTTGGAAAACATATTCCCCGCTGTAGATGTGGACTTTTCTTATGAAAGTGAAAAAGATCAGTGTCATCATAGCTGTTGGTGATGGTTGTCGTTATATTATATCAAGAAATAGTCCTGATGTATGACGTAAGCTTAGGTTGTACCCCAAGTATATTGGATTTCTTGTAATTGTCTCAAACTGCACATTCAGGGCGTTGCTGTTTTGCCAGTAGAGCAATGAAAAGGTCGCACTGTGATTTTTTTCCTCTTAGTAGCTCATCTTCTAAAAAGAGAAGAATGTCCATAGAGCTGCAGAACATTTGGGAGGCTGCCTCTTGCTTCCCTTCTGTGCACATAGTATAAATAATGTTAACACCCTTTCCTCCTTTTTAACCAAACAGAGACATTTTGCAACATTTTTCTAAAGCGTATGACATTATATTCATGAAAATGGATAGTTTGAATCAAATACACACTTCTTTGGTTTTGCTGCCAAAATATAATCTCCCTACATGTGAAGAAGAACTCTCAGTGTATCATTTTCTCAATTTTTAATGTAAACATAGCCTTAAATTTGGTTGTTGTAGGTTTTTCGGGCTTTATGGCCATGTTCCAGAAGCATTCTCTACTGACGCTTCGCCTGCATCTACGGCAGGCACCCTCAGAGGTTGTGAGATCCTCACAACGTCTGAGGATGCCTGCCGCAGTTTTTCATGTAGTCTGAAAAACTTACAACAACCCAGTGATTCTGGCCATGAAAGTCTTTGACGACACATAACCTTGAATATGGAAAAATATTTCCTGATCAAATATTAGGTATTGATGGCAGCAAATGAGCTGGCAGCAGCTCTAAAAGTCTTGGAAACTGCATGCCGTAGTGTGAAAATTAGGGTGTGTTTTGAGTTTTTGTAAATACATATGCTGTTAGGAACATGCATTGAAATATTTTCTTTTCCCTCTAATAATTGCAGCTTTGACAGACAAACAGGAAAGTGCACTAATTGAAATAATGCTCTGTACAATTAGACAAGCAGCTGAATGTCATCCCCCAGTAGGAAGAGGCACAGGAAAACGGGTATGTCCCTTCCTTCCTTCCTTCCTTCCTTCCTTCCTTCCTTCCTTCCTTCCTTCCTTCCTTCCTTCCTTCCTTCCTTCCTTCCTTGAGTAGCATGGAAATGTTTGTATTAGAAATAATACTTTTTCTTCTGGTCATAATTTTATTGAAGCTTTCTGGTTGTGGTGAACACCCACATATGATTAAGTTGCACCATTCAAATTAATATATCCCTAATATTATAGTGTTAAATCAGAAGTAAATGTAAGACATGTGGCAATTTTAATTTGGATGAGATCCATGAGTATTTATAGCAGGGGTCCTCAAACTTTTTAAACAGAAGGCCAGGTCATTGTCCCTCAAACTATTGGAGGACCGGATTATAATTTGAAAATAACATGAATTCCTATGCAGGCTGCACATATCTTATTTGTAGTGCAAAAAAAAAAAAAAACCACTTTAAAACCATTCAGTAATTAAAATGAAGAACAATTTTAACAAATATAAACTTATTAGTATTTCAATGGGAAGTGTGGGCCTGCTTTTGGCTGATGGAATAGGATTGTTGTTGTGGTGGTGGTGTGCTTTCAAGTTGTTTCAGACTTAGGTTGATCCTGAGCGAGGGCCAGGCAAATGACCTTGGAGGGCTGTATCCGGCCCCTGGGCCTTAGTTTGAGGACTCCTGATTTATAGGATGGGATGAAAAGTTGTTATTTTTACCAGGCTTGCTTTCTGCTGCCTTGGAGACTAGGGTGCAGAATAACGGCTGCAAACTACAGGAAAGGAGATTCCCCCTGAACATTAGGAAGAACTTCCGCACTGCAAGGAGAGCTGTTCAGCAGTGGAACTCTCTGCCCTGGAGTGTAGTGGAGGCTCCTTCTTTGGAGGCTGGATGGCCATCTGTCGGGGGGCCTTTGAATGTGATTTCCTTGCTTCTTGGCAGGATGGAGTTGGACTGGATGGCCCATGAGGTCCAATTATAGTATTCTATGAGAGCAGTGTTTTTGTTTCTTATTACTTGTCATTTGTTATTTATATACAGATTTGTAGTATGTCTGATGCCTGTTGGAAACATAGTTCTTATTCCCCCATTGCTAAATCTTGAGAGTGTTTTGAAAAGTTAACTCTATCTCTTTGAATCTTGCAGTTGTATTGTTTGCTAAAACACGTTTTGGTAAATAAATGTAAATCCAAGTTGTGATTAGGACGACCTTTCTGCTCTCGTGATCTAGGTGCTCACAGCAAAGGAGAAGAAAGCACAACTGGATGACAGAACAAGGATCACAGAACTTTTTGCTGTTGCACTCCCTCAGCTATTAGCAAAAGTGAGCATGATTTGTATTGTTAATTATGCCTTACAATACATCTAGACATTGATTAGTCTCACTTAATAACTGACATTGTTGTACATGCTGTTAGTAATCCAGAGATTTCCAAACAATGTCCCACTGAGCTATAATCCTGACCAATTACACTATGTAAGAAAATGTGGAAAATGTTTCTGTTCCTGGTTTGAAAGTGTCATTTCCTGTTTAATTGTGCAGCCTTTACTTTGAAAGTAGTTGTTCTACTACAGAAACTTTGTGGCTGCCACAAAGTAGGTTGAATGGGTTGAGACTCTTGCAGATATTCATTGAAAAACTAGAGTAAAATGTGCTGCGGGATGTCCCTCCTGGAAAAGCAAAGTTTTGGCAGTTTAATAACTTTTTTCCATGTTTTTATTATGGAACCAAGTAGAAAATGACATTGATAATCCAGGAACAAAAACCATTCTGCATAGTGTTATTCTTAAAATCTATATTTTACTCATGCGCTGGTCTAGGATTGAAATATATTTTTGTATTGAATGTTTCTAAAAGTTTAGAGAAGAAATGGGAGACGTTTGTATGGACAACATATTTGTGAGGTATCCAATACTTTAGTAAAAAATTCCAATTAAAGACAATACACCTGGTTTTTTTAATTGTGTCAGAAGCAACTTGGGAATATACTGCAAGTCGCTTCTGGTGTGAGGGAATTGCCCGTCTGCAGGGACGTTGCTCAGGGATCCCCAGATATGTTACCATCCTATGTTAGGTTTCTCATGTCCCCGAATGGAAAGCTGAGGCTGACAGATGGGAGCTCACCCTATCTCACAAATTCAAATTGCTGATTTTCTGGTCAGCAGTTCAGCCGGCACAAGGGTTTACCCATTGCACCACTGTGGCTCAGTGCACCTGATTAAATTGCAGTAGTGCATGATATTGATGACAAAGGAAAACTTTAGGACATAGCCCTCCCAGGTTCCCTGCTTTGAGAGTAAATACGACTGTTAATGCCATTGGCTTTGTTACCTAGTCCCAAACATGTTTTGTTTTGTTATCAGTGGTGCATCACTTGGGAGAGGGCTTGACTTCATTGAAAAATATTTAGACTTTGATTTTATAACCATCTATTTCCACAGTATTCTGTAGATGCAGAGAAAGTCACCAACTTGTTACAGTTGCCACAATATTTTGATTTGGAGATCTACACAACAGGGAGATTAGAAAAGGTAAGCAAAGGTATTAGTCTCTTGGAAATTGAGGTGGAAGAGACTACTGGACATAAAATATTTCGGTATCTTCGAATAATCCAGTATTTAGACCTCAGATTGTGTAGACATGACAAGCATCACTTCTAGGTTTAGCTGTGGATAAATGGTTCCAAAAGAATGTTGCCAGGGTTGTAGATATTATTGATTATTAATATTTTTTAAAGAAAGTTGGGAAGGTGGTTGTGGTGTTCATCTGTTTGAACAAACATACCCAGAATGCTTTCCCTCTTGTCTTGCTTACTAACCTGTGTGCAATTTGCCTTTCATAGCATTTGGATGCCTTATTGCGACAGATCCGAGACATTGTGGAAAAGCACACAGATACCGATGTTTTGGAAGCTTGCTCTAAAACATACCATGCGCTCTGCAACGAGGAATTCACCATCTTTAACAGAGTGGATATTGCAAGGAGTCAGCTAATAGATGAACTAGCGGACAAATTCAATCGACTTCTTGAAGATTTTCTGCAAGAGGCATGTCTTTTTGTTTTTACTATTCTTCTACAGTTCTTGTTCTGCAAGAATTTGACCAAAACAACATTTAAAAAAAATCAGCTAAGATTTATTCTGTTCCCAAGAATCAATAGAGTATTTGTTTCTCCTTGGTCATAGCCTGAAATGGAAAGCATCTCTAGTTGTCACTGTTTTTTTGTGACTGCATTACTTTCCTGAATTTTTGAAACTTTAATCTTTTCCAAAATAGGGTGAAGAGCCTGATGAAGATGATGCCTATCAAGTCTTATCCACATTAAAACGAATCACTGCTTTTCATAAGTAAGTGGAATGAATACTCTAGCTGTTTCTTAACTTCATATTCAGTGTAAATTTTATTTTCTGTTAATATATGGCTAATTAGATAGCAACAATGCTAGAACGCAATTTGATAAATGTTCTGTTCCTGGTTTGAAAGTCTTACACCTGTTTAATTCTGCAGTCTTTACTCTGAGAGTAGTTGTTATACTCCAGAGGCTTCGTTTTTGTGGCTGCCACAAACTAGGTTGAATTAGTTGAGAATCAATGTGATAGTCAATGAAAAATGTTAGCAGAATGTGCTGTATTGAACTACAAAGACTCTGGCCCAGTGGTGATCGGCACACTGGGTGCAGTTCCTAAAGACCTTGGCCTGTACTTAAAAACAATTGCATCTTCCTCCTTCAAGGACCTTGGTACGAAGTACAAAAGCCAGCATAGAGATCTTGATTGTTTATCAAGTGAGGAGGCCTCTTCTTCGGGAGAGGAAGGGGGGGGGGGTTCGTGAGGGGAGCCCCTTCCTTCCATCCTCCCTCCCAAAATGCCTGACTTGGATTGCGGGGAGGGGGAGGCCATAAAAATCTCCAGGAAATATGCAAAGAATGAGGAAGCAACGGCTCCCCTGGTGGCCAGAAGCTGGAATGTTAATAGCCTCTGAGTGTCTGTGTATATATGTTGTGTGTCTACGTTGTTGTGTCTATGGCATTGAATGTTTGCCATGTATATGTACACTAGCTGTCCCCTGCCACGCGTTGCTGTGGCCGGGTCTGGTGATCTGGAAAATAAAGTAACGAGAAAGTGCTGGTTTTTAATATATGTAATTCCTTTATGCTTGTAGGTAAAGCAGTATTTCTTGCTGTTTCTTTGTCAGTGTTGATGTCGAGATTGTTTGGTTTGCCTACTCGGAAACATGCAACATATAATTGTCCTTCTTTAGGGGTCTCTTTCAAATCTAGGATATTATATCTGTTTGTGTGTGAATCATATATATCTATCTATATCTGTGGCTGAATGGTTCTTTGTCAGGAGGGCTTTGATTATGTTTTCTTGCCCTGGTGAAGGGAGTTGGACTGGATGACCTTAAGTATTTTCTGTTGGTCATGGGGCTTCTGTGTGGGAAGTTTGCTCCAAATTTGTCATTTGTGGGGATCAAAATGCTCTTTGGTTGTAGGTGAACTATAAATCCCAGTAACTACAACTCCCAAATGTCAAGGTCTATTTCCCTCAAGCTCCATCTGTGTTCATATTTGGGCATATGGAATATTTGTGCCAGGTTTGGTCCAGATCCATCATTGTTTGAGTCCACAGTGGTCTCTGGATGTAGGTGGACTACAACTCCCAGACTCAAGGTCAATGCCCACCAAACCCTTCTAGTGTTTTCCGTTGGTCATGGGAGTCCTGTGTGTCACCTTTGGTTCAATTCCATTTGATTGTAAGTGAACTATAAATCCCAGCAGCTACAACTCCCAAATGACAAAATCATAATTTTTTGAGTGATGGTCACTCCTTGTGTAGTGAGACATTTTGTTGCTAAATTTGGTGTGATTTCGTTCATTGGTTCTTTTGTTTTTAAGGAACTCATTATGCACAGAGCATTTATATATATATAGATTGTAATCCGCCCTGAGTCCCCTACGGGGTGATAAGGGCGGAATATAAATACTGCCAATAAATAAATAAATAATTTTATTTCTTACCCGCCTCTTCTCGTTGCTCAAGGCAGGAACAAAAATCGTGTTTTATAGCTTAATTGAAAAATGCATGAATTTTTTAGAGCCTTTAAAAAAACATGTTTACTTTTTTTCTGTTTTCAGTGCTCATGATCTGTCAAAATGGGACTTGTTCAGTTGTAACTACAAGCTACTAAAAACAGGCATCGAGAATGGAGACATGCCTGAACAGGTTTGTGTTTTTGTGTGCTTCCCCCTCCTCCCAAAATGAAATATAAATATATATACTTCAAAAAAAAATGAAAAAAGTAGTTCCTCTTTTTAAAACAAACCATTTTCTTTGTTTTTTTTAAATGCAGATTGTTATTCATGCACTGCAGTGTACTCATTATGTTATCCTTTGGCAGCTAGCAAAAGTCAGTGAGAGCAGTTCTACGAAGGTAAGAAAGACTCTCTGGGGCAGGTGGACAGGGGCCTTTAAGACACATCCACACACAATGGTCGTAGTTTAACCTCTGAATATTCCTTCCTAATCAAACCCTGTCAAATCCACATGGGGGTCCCCATAAGTTGTCTTGTGGCATGAAGTCACTCCCAGTGGTGATTTGCTCCTTCGCTGAATGGAAGCAGATTGAGAGACAGAAAAAGCTCCTTGGTTATTTCTCAAAATCTCTACCAGTAAATAAAAGAAGAATAAGATGGGGATGTGAGAGGGTGGTTTTTGTATAACATGGCAATGGGGACTTACTGCTGGAAGCCAGGGAAACTGCACATTTGGGGCACACATATATGTAGATCAGTTTCCACTTTTTCCACTTGCTAAGCTACTTGTGTGGGAGCCCCCAGTGGCGCAGTGGGTTAAAGCACTGAGCTGCTGAGCTTGTTGATCGAAAGGTCGCAGGTTCGATTCGGGGAGCGGCGTGAGCTTCCGCTGTCAGCCCTAGCTTCTGCCAACCTAGCAGTTCGAAAACATGCAAATGTGAGTAGATCAATAGGTACCGCTCCGGCGAGAAGGTAAGGGCGCTCCATGCAGTCATGCTGGCCACATGACCTTGGAGGTGTCTATGGACAACACTGGCTCTTCGGCTTAGAAATGGAGATGAGCACCACACCCCAGAGTCAGACATGACTGGACTTAATGTTAACTTTACCTAAGCTACTTGTGAGCTGAAGCAGAATTCATAACCCTTGATACTCATTTCTCACCCAACACAGACCTGCAGATATTCTGTTTTTGTTTTGCTTTTCTTGCTACAATTATATTTAGTAGTTTGTTTTACAGTTTCTTGCAAAGCTTTACACTTCTCTTTTGAAAAAGTACGATTCCTAATCAGCTTAATTGGTGTTTAATAGCATTGTTTGTTTCACAGGAGAACCTGCTACGCTTAAAGAAGGAGATGAGAGTATTCTGTCAAATCTGCCAGCACTACCTGACTAACGTAAATACTGCTGTGAAAGAACAGGTTAGTCAGCAAATACTATTTATGTCCTGCCTTCCCACAGTAAATGACTCAATAATGTTAGCATATTGTGATAATGATTATGATGATGATAATGATGATGATGATGATAATAATAATAATAAAACTTTATTTGTACCCCGCTACCATCTCCCCAAGGGACTCGGTGAGGCCAAGCCCACAGCACATCAATACACAAAAGCGCTAACAAATAATCAATACAAAACAGTTAAAATAAAACTCAAAAACAAAAAATACACAATAAGCAATAAACAATAACAATAACATACAGCATTTAAAAACCTATGGCCGGGCCAAATGTAATAATTAAAATTTAAAATGCTGGGCATGAACAAGGTAGGGTTTTCAGAGAAAGAAGAGGGCGCGCAGACAATCCTAATCAATATTAAAGTGCGTTTAGGGACATATTGCAAGAGTTTTCCTTATTCTGGGAAGGCACACTGGAACAACCACATTTTCAGGTTCCTCCTAAAGACTGACAGCGTTAGGGCATGTCTGATGTCCTTGGGGAGTGAATTCCAGAGTCGAGGGGCCACCACCGAGAAGGCCCTCTCCCTCGTCCCCACCAATCGTGCCTCCGAAGGAGGTGGGAGCATGAGCAGGGCCTCTCCAGATGATCGAAGAGATCATGTGGGTTCGTACAATAATGATATGCAAGGACTGGTACAAAGCCAGTCAAGGTGGTCCCACTGGTGTTCGACACTCTGGGTGCAGTGCTTAAAGACCTTGGCCTGCACTTAAAAACAATTGGCGCTGACAAAGTTACCACCTGTCAGCTGCAAAAGGCCACCCTACTCAGATCTGCGCGCATTATTTGCCGATACATCACACAGTCCTAGACACTTGGGAAGTGTCCGACATGTCATTCAGTACAAAGGCAGCATTGTGATCTTGTTTGCTATGTACTCATCTTGTTGTGTATCAAATAATATAATTGTTATTATTGTTATCATCATTATAAAAGCAGGTAGGTAAATTCTCTGGTGAGATATAAAGGTTGAAGGCAGATATCCACCAGCATGGTGGATCTTTTACTCTCAAATTCGCAATTCTCTTTCTGTGTTCAAGGTGTTTAAAATCAATGTGATACATTTATTTCCCTTGTCCTTTTTTTTTTTTTTTTGTGCAGGCCTTCACTATTTTGTGTGATGTATTAATGATCTTCAGCCATCAGATTATGTCAGGGGGACGCGACATGTTAGAGCCACTAGTTTACACTCCTGATTCTTCGTTGCAGTCCGAACTGTTGAGTTTTATCCTTGACCACGTCTTCATTGACCAGGATGATGACAACAACAGTACAGGTAGGAGAGCACAAAAACGTCTTCTCGGCGTTTTGACAGCAACAGACGCATTACTCACTCTTTTACTTATTTGGGATATACTGTCCACTCCCATAGTACTAAAAGGTAAAAATCAGCCATAGTAAACTGAAAGGTAAGATCCAGGCTTTATGAATATTATAGTTAACATTCTAAAGTTGTTTGCCTGGAGGAAAAATTGTATCCTTAGCATTAGAATTTGGTATGAGACCACTTTGTACAGCAGGGAAGGAGCTTGTTCTGCCCCCATCTTGTAAAACATCTGATTCGTTCTCTTATTTCTACTAAAACAACATTTATAACAGCATGAGGGCAAAACGGTTTGCATGATTAGAGGTGATGAAGAAGTTAGTGTACAAATTCAAATTGCTCACACCATTAATCATCTTATTTTTTAGATGGACAGCAAGATGACGAAGCCAGCAAGATCGAAGCTTTGCATAAAAGAAGAAACTTGCTTGCAGCTTTTTGTAAACTTATTGTCTACACTGTGGTGGAGATGAACACTGCTGCGGATATTTTTAAGCAATACATGAAGGTACTGGAGTCCTCCAAAGATGAAGGGTCATGGGGTGGGGAGATTGATATTAATCGTTAGCAGTAAATTAACGTGTTCCTGTTTTTCCTCATTATAATATTGAGTGAATATTGATGTGCTGTCATCAAGCGGATTTAATTCTATTGTGAACTGAGGGCCCTTCTAGACAGGCCCTAAATCCCAGGATTTAATCCTGGGTGCCATCACTACTTAAGCAGGGAGCTTTTAAATGGTTGAACAGAAGCTCTTCAGAGCTTTAGGTCCTCTTCCTGCCTATTACAGGGAAAACCAGCTGATTCCTAATCCATCTAAAACACAGACGTGTGCTTTCCCCCTTGAGAACAAATAAGCACCTCAAACTCTGAAGATGACCTAGGAAGGAATCCCACTGGAGCATTGCAGCGCACCCAAATACCTGGGAGTCACTCCAGACCGTGCTCCGACTTACAAGAAGCACTGCTTGAATATCAAGCAAGAAGTGGGTGCTTAGAAACAATACCATACGAGAGCTGACTGGCACAACCTGGGGATCACAACCAGGCACAGTGAAGACATCTACCCCTGTGCTTTGCTACTCTGCTGCTGAATACGCATGCCCAGGGTGGGACACATTTTGTTTCGTTAAAACAGTGGGTGTGGCTCTTAATGAGACATGCCACATTGTCACAGGATGTCTATGCCCAATACCACTGGAGAAATTATACTGTTTAGCCAGTATTACACAACCTAAGATTTGTCGGGAAGTAGCAGCCAGCAATGAAAGGACAAAGGTATTTACATCTCCGGCCCATCCTCTTTTCGAATATCAGCCAGCATGCCTTAAATCATGAAACGGCTTCCTGAGATCCACAGAGATACTTCCAGGAACACCTCAGGAAGCGAGAGTCCAAAAGTGGCAGGCTGAAACACAGAACCTGAATCAATGGCTGATACTGGATGTGGTGGACATGTGATAAAGAAAGGAAATATTGGAAGAGAATACAAAAAGAGATTGAAAAGATGTTAAATATACAAATCCCCTGGAACCAGAAATATTTTTATTAGGGATGTATGACATAAAACTAGAAAGAAAAACAGATAAACTATTATTTTTGATACTAATGGCTGCAAGAATGTGTTTTGCAAGAAGATGGAAGCAAGAAGAAATACCAGACGAAGATGAATGGTTGATGAAAATATTAGAGATTAGGAACATGGAGAGGCTTACCTACCTAATGTCAATGTATAAAGAAATGAGGATGATAGAAACAGACTGGAGACAAGTCACCAGATATGAGCGAAAAGAAGAAAATGATCTTGACCTAGAATTGAAAACAAGGGAAGGGAAAGGAAAGTTAAGAGAAAGAGAAGAGAAGGTGTAGGTGAAGATGACCTCTAAAAGATACCAGGAAGCAAAAAATCTATCTTTCGTCCCCCTTTTTTTTTCATTTTTCCCCATTTTTTCCAAAAAAAAAATTCTTTTTCTTTTTTCTATGGTTTTATTTAATCCTATGTAATGCAAATTTTCAATAAAGATTATTCACAAAAAAAGAAAAGAAAGAAACTCCTCCCTGGGCACAGGGAAGACTGAGCGACTTGGAAGGTGCTGAATAGACTGACTCTGGCACCACGAGATGCAGAGCCAATCTTAAGAAATGGGGCTACAAAGTGGAGTCCATGACATGCGAGTGCGGAGAAGAGCAAACCACAGACCAACTATTGCAATGCAGTCTGAGCCTTGCCACATGCACAATGGAGGACCTTCTCACAGTGACACCAGAGGCACTCCAAGTGTCCAGCTTCTGATCAAAGGACACTTGGCATATGCCAAGTGTTTAACTTTGTTTGTGTTTTAAATACATTTTAACTGTACCCTCAATTTGCTTCTGACACAATAAATAAATTCCAGATTTTCTGTTCATCTCGGATTATCTGGCAGTGGGGACTCATATAATGCAGTTTAAAGCAGAAAACCTGGGATCAGATCCTGGGAAATAGGGCCTGTCTGGAAGGACCCTGATTTTGTGTGGACCTATTCTGGGCAGTGTTTTTTCTTTATCTTAAAGCAAGAAGCAAAGATTACGAATTATAAATGTTTTCTATTAGCCTTTCAGCCTTTTGAAATTCTCCTTTTGACACATTTTTCTTCCACCATAAACTAAAGTCAGACTTGTATTTTCCTTGTGTTTTCCCCCCTTGTTAGTATTACAACGACTATGGTGATATCATCAAAGAAACCATGAGTAAAACAAGGCAGATAGACAAAATCCAATGTGCAAAGACACTGATTCTCAGTTTACAACAGGTGAGTGCTACTGTAAACAGAGTATCTGCTGTGGGCATTTGGCTATTTTTAAGTGAGGCCAAAATATTATTCATAGTATCACTTCAGTGACGTTCGTTTTCAAGACTGGCCACATTTTACTTACAATTATTTAATTTCTCAATCTGAGGGTCAGGAGCCCTGGGTGGGTGGGAAGCGAGGGGTTTGCAGAGGCTTCGCCAAAGACCATCAGAAAACGCATATTTCTGATGGTGTTAGGAATCCCTTTGACAAAGAAGATTGTCCTTCTCTTCCTTTTTGGAAACATATGGTGAATCCTCCCACCAAAAGCCCTCCTCTGCTGTGATTGGCCGGCCTCTCAGCCAAGGGGAGGGCTATTTCTAAGACTCCTAGTGGGGAGGGGAGAGCAGGCATGCTCACTGCAAAACAGCATGGTGTGCATGTGCGGGCGAGGGGGAGCACGCGAGGCTGGAGGGAGGCTCGTGCCAGCGAGTCCCTTCAAGGCAGGGGGGTTCTGTTTGGGAAGTGTGGTCCAATTCTATCATTGGTGAGGTTCAGAATGCTCTTTGGTTGTAGATGAACTATAAATCCCAGTAACTACAACTCCCAAATATCAAGGCCTATTTTCTCCAACTCCACCAGTGTTCACATTTGGGCAGATTGAGAATTTGTGCCAACTGTGGTCCAGATCTTTCACTGTTCTCTGGATGTAGGTGAACTACAACTCCAAAACTCAAGGTCAATGCCCACCAAACCTTTCCAGTATTTTCTGTTGGTCGTGGGAGTTCTGTGTGCCAAGCAAGTTTGGTTCAGTTCCATCGTTGGTGGAGTTCAGAATGCTTTTTGATTGTAGGCGAACTATAAATCCCAGCAAGTACAACTTCCAAATGACAAAATCAATCCTCCCCCAACCCCACCAGTATTTAAATTTGGGCATATCCTGTATATAGATATTTACCTTATGATTCATGACAGTACCAAAATTACAGTTATGAAGTAGCAATGAAAATAATTTTATGGTTGGGGGTCACCACAACATCAGGAACTGTATTAAGGGCTCGTGGTATTAGGAAGGTTGAGAAACACTGGTCTAGTTATCCCTTTTGGCACTCTATGTCCATTTCTTATGGGCCCTTTATGTTGAAAGACACAAGTCTCTCTAAACTGTTTTCTTATTGTTCAAAGAGTTGTTTTACTATAGTCAGTGAAGTAACAATACACTCACCATGCATTCATTCTCCAAAGTACTGTTGCTAACCACAAACAATTTACTAAAATAAATATGTCTTTTCAGCTTTTCAATGAGATGATTCAAGAAAATGGGTACAATTTTGATCGATCGTCACCGACATTCAGCGGCATTAAGGAATTAGCCCGACGCTTTGCTTTAACATTTGGGCTCGATCAGCTGAAAACAAGAGAAGCCATTGCTATGTTGCACAAGTAATTGCTCATTTTTTTCTGATTTGTACTCAAATATGTTGCCTGCTGTAGAGTTACTGATGTAATTGTTTTCCTCTTTTCACAGTTTCCAAAATTGGGGAGTTCCAAAATAGATAGGATGGTTAAATCGTAAAATAACTTTAATGAAGTTGCTGCAGCTTGTGGATGTCAAGGCAGTCTGTAATAACACTGTGTAACACAATTGTTGTTCCTGGATTATAAACCATTTCCTAATTGGTTCAATCATAAGAACATGGGAAAAGTTTATTGAATTGCAAAAAACTGTTTCTGTGGGAGGGACATCTTGCACATTTTGCTCTAGTTTTTCAGTGAATAATAATAATAATAATAATAATAATAATAATAATAATAATAATAATAATAATGAAGTCTATACTGGCTCGGTCGTCGTCCAGGATAACCAGCAGGGTGTCTGCTGTGGACTCATATTGTTGTGTTTCAAAATAATAATTATAATAATGATAATAATAATCGCTATTGTGATTGTATTTATTAGAATGTTATTTTAAGACTGCTTTTTTTCCTTATTAGTAATGTACTTTGATGTTGTCATTATTTGTTTTTATGTTTTGATTTTATTACTGTAATATGTTGTCAGGGCTTGTAAGCCGCTCCGAGTTCCCATCGGGGAGATGGTGGTGGGGTATAAAGTATTATTATTATTATTATTATTATTATTATTATTATTATTTATTAGAGTCACAACCAACCTAATTTGTGGCAACCACAATAACAACAAATAAAAGTTGCTATCCTTTCTGGAGGATAGCAACTACTTTTAAAGTAATTAAACAGGAATAACATTTTCAAACCAGGAACAGGAAAAAAATCAAGTTACATAGTGTAATTAAAGTAAAGCAGCAGTTAAAATAGTAAAGGTAAAGGTTTTCCCTTGACATCAAGTCCAGTTGTGTCCGACTCTGGGGAGTGGTGCTCATCTCCATTTCTAAGCCGAAAAGCCGGTGTTGTCCGTAGACGCCTCTAAGGTCATGTGGCCTGCATCACTGCATGGGGCGCCGTGCAGTTAAAATAAAATATACTGTATTACTTCAAGTGTTAGCTGCTGCAAACATTAAGGAAGGAATCTACGGAGAGAATGCAAGGATTAAATTGACCATTTCAGAGAATGTGCTCAAAGCTAATATGAAAACAGTACCAATGCCCTTTTCCATATGACAGCACATTCAGACCTTAAAGATCTTTTGTATTTGATACCAGTTTCTGAGCTAGAGCTTCCTTTCTTCTGGCTGGCATAGATATTTGTATATGTATGTATGCATGCATATTGGAGCCCCAGGTAGCATTAAACGCTGAGCTGCTGAACTTGCTGACTGAAAAGTCGGCGGTTTGAATCCGAGGAGCGGAGTGAGCTCCCACTGTTTGTTTATTTATTTACAACATTTATATGCCGCCCTTCTCACCCCGAAGGGGACTCAGAGCGGCTTACAAGGTATATATTACATACAATATATTATATGATTAGCATAGTACAATATTAGCACTAAACATTGCTATATTGCACCATACCACTGTATCGTAGTATTATTAGTAATATTACATGTAATATAAATAAATAATTATAATATCATATTATTATTATTATTATTATATTGCATTACATTATAATATTATAAATATTATATTATATTACATTATATTAGCCCCAGCTTCTGCCAACCTAGCAGTTTGAAAACATGCCAGTGTGAGTAGATCAATAGGTACTGCTCTAGCGGGAAGGTAACAGCGCTCCATGCCGGCCACATGACCTTGGAGATGTCTATGGACAACGCCAGCTCTTTGACTTAGAAATGGAGATGAGCCCCAACCCCCAGAGTAGGACACGACCAGACTTAATGTCAAGGGGGAACCTTTACGTATGTGTGCATACAGTTTTCTGGAAAGTCTTTAACTCATGGAGGAAGCACATATTTGAATCCCTGGTGTCAACTACTTAAATTTGCTGGATTTCATAGCAAGAGATTGGCTCGCTGCTTGGCGCAGAGCCATTTAATGAAATGAGATGTGACAGGATGACTCACCCCAAATCCATTTGATTTCATTCAGTTTGCTTTAAATATGATAGCTGGACTTTGATTTCACACTTAGAAAGTCATTGGGACGTGCGGCACATTAAAATGGAAACAAACTGAATCAAATAGCACGAGTTATTTTATGGAAATACTCTTTTTGCAAAAGTTGATGTAGTTGGCACTGGTGTTGGCTTCATTTTGGTACATAGCTTTAAAGAATTATAGGACTTCCGTTTGACTTCCGGAAGTCAAGAACCTCCTCATTTTTTTTATTTTTACTTTATTTTATTTTTTGTATCTTTTCTTTTTTCGATCTATACATAATTCCATTTCTTACTATTTCCTATTTTTCTCTAATTGCATTGTTCTCCAACTTTGCTTGTATACTTTCCAGAGTATATACATTTTTTGTTTGTCTTCTTTCGTTCTATTTTAGTCTTTAAAACAATAAAAATATAATTTAAAACTTCAAAACAATAAAAATATATATTTTTTAAAAGAATTATAGGATTTTTAGGTATTATATAAATGTGTTTTTAAATTATTAAATTGTAATTTATTTAGTCAAAAGTTGGGATTGAATTAACCGTATGCACCTTATGTCGGGATATACCGTATATGCTCGAGTATAAGCCGACCCGAATATAAACCAAAGCACCTAATTTTACCACCCAAAAATGGGAAAACTTATTGACTCGAGTATAAGTGGAGGGTGGGAAATGCAGCAGCTACTGGTAATACAAAATAAATATAGATACCAATAAAATTACATTAATTGAGGAAACAGTAGGTTAAATGTTTTTCAATGTTTACATAAAACTGTAATTTAAAATAAGATTGACCAACTTTGATTAAACCATATTCTAACCCTTTTCAGTGTTAATGTTCTTACGTATCCTTCCAATAATAATAAAGTAAAATAATAAATGTAATAAACAACAATAAATTATTAGAATTATTATTATTATTATTATTATTATTATTATTATTATTTACAGCAGGGGACTCAGGGCGGATTACAGTGTACACATATATGGCAAACATTCAATGCCAATTTTTGACATACAAACATATACAGACATACACAGAGGCTATTTAACTTTTTCTGGCCGCCAGGGGAGCTGTCGCTTTCATCGTCCATCTGCGACACGCTGATGAAGCACTTCCGCATTCCCCGCATGCTTCCCCGCTGGAATGCTTTGCTGGAGTCTTCTTTATGTCCTCATAAATCAGTTAATTTAGCCTCCCCACACTTTTAAGGTGGTACCTAATTTTCCTACTTGACAGATGCAACTGTCTTTCGGGTTGCAAAGGTCGACAACAGGCTACACACAATTGGTTGGAAACCCACTCTAACCCGGGCTGGCTTCGAACTCATGACCTTTTGGTCAGAGTGATCTTAATGCAGCTGACACTCAGCCAGCTGCGCCACAATCCCGGTAAAAATGTTTAATATAACAATAATAATAAAAATAGAGTAAAATAAATGTAATAAAAATAATAATAAGAGTACAATAATGCAAATGTAATAATGCCAATAATAGAGTAAAATAATAAATGTAATAACAATAATACTAAAGTAAAATAATAAATGTAATAATAATAATAGAGTAAAATAAATGTAATAAAATAATAGAGTAAAATAATGTAAATGTAATAATACCAATAATAGAGTAACCCTAAAATAATAAATGTAATAAAAATAATAGTAATAACAGAGTAAAATAATGAATAACTTTGACTTGAGAATAAGCTGAGGGCAGCTTTTTCAGCCTAAAAAAGGGGCTGAAAAACTAGGCTTGTACTCGAGTATATACAGTAAGTGTTAAGAATAATAAAATGAAACAATAAAATAACACAAAACGCAATAGCTTCCCTTGCTATATTAAGTCCACAAAGATTTCATTGGAAATGCTGACTTAGATTCCTAATTCTTTTCAGAGATGGGATTGAGTTTGCTTTTAAAGAGCCGAATCCACAGGGTGAAAGCCATCCACCTTTATATTTGGCATTCCTTGATATATTGAGCGAATTCTCTTCCAAACTTCTCAGGCAAGACAAAAAAACAGTGTAAGTATTTTGGTCATGGGTTTTCTCGCAAGTCGTATTTGTCTGGGCTGTGATTTAATGTGGAAATAAAGCTGTGTCAAATATATTGTATAACACTTTGGATACCTCGAGTTGGCTATGAAATACATTATTGTACATGATTTCCCTAAATTAGCTATTTTGCTTTTGTAATGGACAAGCATTGGAAATAAAGTATGGTTGCAAATGTGCAGGGCGTGTTGATAGAAGAGGACGTGAGAGTTACCTCTGTTTTAAACGTTGGCTTTTAATTGAATGGAATTCTAGATAATTATCCAAGGTGTTTCATTCCTGCCATAAAATTTGGTTGTGTCTTATGCCTCTGTTTAGTTTAGGATCCACTCAGCAGCTGTTGCTTCTGCTGCTTCTGTTTTGGTCAGGTAGAGAAGAGAAAGACTAAGATTGATTGACACAATTGCACAATATAGACATTTGTGTTGACAAATGCAATATCAGGACATGGTATTGTCATAGGCTTTCATGGCTGGAATCACTGGGTTGCTGTGTGTTTTCTGGGCTGTCTGGCCATGTTCCAGAAGCATTCTCTCCTGACGTTTCACCCACATCTATGGCAGGCATCCTCAGAGGTTGTGAGGTCTGTTGGAAACTAGGAAAATTCAGGTTTATATATCTGTGGGATGTCCAGGGTGGGAGAAAGAACTCTTGTCTGTTGGAGGCAAGTGTGAATGTTGCAATTGGCCAGCTTGGTTAGCATTGAATGGCCTTGCAGCTTCAAAGCCTGGTTGATTGCTGCATGGGGAATACTTTGTTAGGAGGTGTTCACTGGCCCTGATTTATTCTTGTCTTGGACACAGCATGAATATTGCCATTGGCCAGCTTGATTAGCACTGAAAGGCCTTGCAGCTTCAAAGTCTGGTTGATTGCTGCTGGGGGAATCCTTTGTTAGGAGGTGTTCGCCGGCCCTGATTCATTCTTGTCTGATGAACCAACCTGGACACAGCGTGAATATTGCCATTGGCCTGCTTGATTAGCACTGAATGGCCTTGCAGCTTCAAAGTTTGGTTGATTGCTGCCTGGGGGAATCCTTTGTTCGCTGGCCTTGCGGCTTCAAAGCCTGGGTGCTTCTTGTAGCCATGCTTTGAAAAACTCTGAAATCAAAACTAAATAAAAAACAACACTCAGAAAACGGGAATTTCAGACAAGAACCAATCAGAGCCAGCTAACATCTCCTAACAAAGGATTCCCCCAGGCAGGAGAGAACTGGAGAGCTCAGTAGTATCGCAGTCAGTTTTCTCATGGCTTGTTCTTCTTTCTTTTGAAAGGTATGCTTACCTGGAGAAGTTTATGACCTTCCAGATGTCTCTCCGGAGGGAAGATGTGTGGCTCCCACTCATGTCTTACAGGAACTCTTTGCTCGCCGGCGGGGACGACGACACCATGTCCGTCCTCAGCGGAATGAGCAACCGGGGGTCGACAGTCCGGAGCAAGAAAACCAAGCCGGCCACAGGGAAACGGAAACTACCTGAAGGTGGGGTTTCGTTGCTTCTTTTTCCCCCTTCACATCAAGTGTGCTTACCTTATTGTATATTTAAAATAGAATAGTCGGGTAAAAAGGGGAGAGGGAGGGAACGGAGTACTATGTGAATTAAACTATTGGTTGGTTGATTTTTATAAGCCAGCAGATCATTGTCTCAAACATAACCTATTAATACATAGTTAGATAGATCTGTTTATTGATTATCCACTGACCAATAAACAGATCTATCTATCTGTTTATTGATTATCTGCTGAGCAAGTTACACCCGGTTGTGCAATTGGTTAAACCCTTGTGTCGGTAGAACTGAAGACTGATAGGTTCAAATCCGGGGAGAGTGCGGATGAGCTCCCTCTGTCACCTCCAGCTCTTCATGCGGGGACATGAGAGAAGCCTCCTACAAGGATGGTAAAACATCAAAACATCCTGGCAACGTCCCCTGGGCAACGTCCTTGCAGACGGCCAGTTCTCTCACACCAGAAGTGACTTGCAGTTTCTCAAGTCTCTCCTGACACAAAAAAGTAAAAATCAGCTGACCATATTGACAATAAAAGACAAAAACAAAAACACAGAGACAAATAGTCACTAATCACCGTGCTAAAACTCCCGCAATAGTTAACAAAAACAAATTAAAACTTATTTAGATTTCATTATCAAATTTATTATTTAAATTTATTATTTAAATATGCCGCTTTGAGTCCCACTCTGGGAGAAAAGCGGGATAGAAATAAGCAAATTATGAAATAGGAAGAATGAACATGGAATGGCTGGATGATGATGCTGGATAATAATTTTAACAGGACAACATCGGTGATTATATGTTTTTAAATGCTTTTTAAAATGTTGAGTTGAATGTTTTTAACTATCATTATGAATGTATGGCACTAAAATTGCTATTTCTGTGAGCCACATTGAGTCGCTGTAAGGCTGAGAAAGGCGGGATGCAAATGCCGTAAATCTATGTAAATAAATAATCAGATTCATTACAAGGGACCCCCATTTTGTGAGATAAAGAGATCTCTCTGGGCTTTTGTGATGAATTTGGCTATGCAGCAGACTAAGTGTTGATCCTCCCCAGAAAGAAAAATAAGATGATTTGGCAATTGGGTTGATTATTATAGATATTGAGATCTCACCTTGGCCTATAGACAACAATCAAAACAAAATATGCACAGTGTCCTGAATTAATAGATCTCACCATATTAAAAACAGGAAATAAAGTAGCAAAGTCATAATTTGGTTGTTGTGTTCAGACTTAGAAATGTGGCAAAGCTATAAAAGAGGGGTGGTTAATGATGACTTGTCTAGCTGGGGTGCAAGAAGCCCTGACATTTCGAAGTGCAAGGCTTGTGATGTGATCTCATACAGTTTTTCTCCTTCCAGCTGAGGAAAGCAGCAGTAGCGACAGCATGTGGATGAGCAGGGAGCAGACGATGCACACGCCGGTCATGATGCAGACCCCTCAGCTCACGTCCACCATCATGCGGGAACCCAAAAGGTTGCGGCCCGAAGAGAGCTACATGGGCGTCTATCCCATGCAAGCCGAACACCACCAACCGCCCATTGATTACAAGTATATACACTTGAAAACAACTGTTTTCTCATTCCTGAAATACTTGGTCTGTGCCTCTTTTAAATAAAGATACGTCTCTTTTTCAAGTACGCAGGTCACATGGATGTTGGCTCAAAGGCAGCAGGAAGAAGCAGCCCGGCAGCAGCAGGAGAGAGCGGCCATGAACTACGTGAAGCTGAGAACCAATTTGCAGCATGCCATGTAAGCGCAAGCACCAGTTGCCCCTCAAAGAGGAGAGAAAGGCCTTGCTCAAATTCCTTTTCTCCTTTTGCTTTTGTTCGTATTTTTCCCCGCTCATTGCCAAGTCCCTTGATGCCGCGATCCGGATAATGCTCAAAACATGCTCCAGCAGATGACARAAAAGAGTCTTGTGACATTAGCGCAGGGGTCCTCAAACKTTTTAAACAGAGGGCCAGTTCACAGTCCCTCAAACTGTTGGAGGGCCGGATTATAATTTGAAAAAAACATGAATGAATTCCTATGCACACGGCACACATCTTATCTGTAGTGCAAAAAAAAMAMAAACCCACTTTAAAACAATACAATAATTAAAATGATGAACAATTTTAACAAATATAAACTTATTAGTATTTCAATGAGAAGTGTGGGCCTGCTTTTGCCTTTTTTTTTTTTTTTTTTGGTCGTSTCAGAAGCGACTTGAGAAACTGCAAGTCGCTTCTGGTGTGAGAGAATTGGCTGTCTGCAAGGATATTGCCCAGGGGATGCCCGGATGATTTGATGTTTTTATCATCCTTGTGGGAGGCTTCTCTCATGTCCCCGCATGAGGAGCTGGAGCTGATAGAGAGATCTTATCCGCTTCTCCCCGGATTCGAACCTGCGACCTGTCGGTCTTCAGTCCTGCCGGCACAGGGGTTTAACCCACTGCGCCACCGGGAGCTCCTGATGAGATAGGATTGTTGCTGTTGTTGTGTGTTTTCAAGTCATTTCAAACTTAGGTTGACCCYGAGCAAGGGCCGGGTAAATGACCTTGGAGGGCCGTATCTGGCCCCCRGACCTTAATTTGAGGACCCCTGCATTAGAGGATGGTGTRCTGGTCCACTTGCAGAAATGGGATGGCCAAGAGACCACACTGAAAAGGAAATTTAGATGCATTCTTTGAAATCTCTACCAATTGTGGCAATATTTGAGGGAAACTAAGGGGATTTCAAAAGTTATTTATTTATTTATTTACAGTATGTATATTCTGCCCTTCTCACCCCACAGGGGACTCAGGGCCGATCACAATGCACATATACATGGCAAACATTCAATGCCATTAGACATACAACACACAGAGGCTATTTAACTTTCCAGCTTCATGAGGGTATGCTTTGAATTCTGGCCACCAGGGGAGCTGTCGCTTCGTCATCCATTTGTGACACCGATGGAGTACTTCCTCATTCTTTTACACACTGCTGGAGAGTTTTACGGCGTCATAAATTAGTTAAATTAGTCTCCCCGCATAAGCGGTACCTAAATTTCCTACTTGACAGATGCAACTGTCTTTCGGGCTGCAACGGTCAACAGCAAGCTACACAAATTGGTCATAAGCTCACTCCAACGCGGGTTGGCTTCGAACTCATGACCTTTTGGTCAGTAGTGATTTTAAAGCGGTTGACTCCCAACCAGCTGCGCCACAACCCGGTGTCCGCATGATGCACTTGCAGACATCCATTCAAATACTTGAGGAAAAAGTAACCTATTCCAAGCCTGATTCCAAAGCAACACTTTGCTGTCTAAATCTTTGTACCTACAGTGGGTGATCTCTCATTCCTGCCACATGGACACAAGGAACACAATGTCACAAGACTTGTGTGTGTGTTTCCCTGTATTTTTCTGCAACTTTTGATAGCATTGAGCATAGCATCGATCACCCATGTGTTTGAGATGGGGCTTGGAAGCATTAGGCTTCGTTCTTCTTTTGGAGGAGAGATCCAATATCGTGTTTTTAGGGCGTTCCTGTAAGCTCTTTAGGCATTGTCAAGTCCCTTAGTCTTCCCCCTCCTAGTTAACTTTTCCATAAACTACTAGGAGAAGTGTCTGGAGTTTGGGATCAGATGGAAGCCGTTTCCAAGCTGAACGAATGTTACTTGTCAGCAATGTTTCTTGTTGCCTGTTTTTGGTCAAAAGATATTTAGCCGCCTGCGCGCCTTCTATTTTTATCAGTTTTATACTAATTTATGAAATGCTTTTGATATGAAATAAAGCAATGGTCTGAATAAGGGCAATCAAACTGATACTTAATCCAGCCCAGACAGAGTTTTTTTTAATCATGTCAGAAGCGACTTGAGAATATGCTTCTGGTGTGAGAGACTTGACCATCTACAAAGATGTTGCCCAGGGGACGCCTGGATGTGTTACCATCCTGTGGGAGACTTCTCTCATGTCCCCACAAGGAAACTGGGCCTGACAGATGGGAGCTCACCCCATCTTGCAGATTCGAACTGCTGACCTTCAGATCAGCTGTTCAGTTGGCACAAGGGTTTAACCCATTGTGCGACTGTGGCTCCCTAAGACAGAGGTGCTTCTGCACAATTGACTGGTAGATATGTCTTTAAAACTTCAGGATGAGAGTTAACAAGGAATGTATTTTCGAAGGTTTTCATGGCCAGAATTACAGGGTTGTTGTAAGTTTTTTGGGCTGAACCTCACAAGCTCTGAGGATGCCTGCCATAGATGCAGGCAAAACGTCAGGAGAGAATACTTCTAGAACATGGCCATACAGCCCAAAAAACCTACAACTACCTAACTAGGAATGAGACTTGGTTGATAAAAAAAAATGGTTCAAAACTCGTTTCGGATGTAGGGAGCGATGGTGGTTCGATTCTAAAATCAATTCTGATTTTCAGAGAAAAAACAAATTCAAAACTTTTCGAAACTTCTGAGACTTCCGAATTCTTTCGTTAATGGTTTGAAAGTGTTATTTCCTGTTTCAATGGGTGGTCTTTACTTTAAAAGTACCGTATATTCCGGCATATAAGACGACTGCGCGTATAAGACGACCCCCAACTTTTCCAGTTAAAATATAGAGTTAAGACGACTCCCATGCATAAGACTACACCTGCGTATAAGACGACCCCTGACTTTTGAAAAGATTTTCTTGGGTGAAAAAGTAGTCTTATACGCCAGAATATACTGTAGTTGTTTTACTCCAGACGCGGAGAAAAGCAAACGGAAGAATTTCCTTCCTTCTCTGGTTTAAAACTGACTTCTCTGGCTTTAAAACTGGCTTCGCTGGCTTGAGCCGAGGCCAGGAAATTCCTTCATTTCTGGTTTAAAATTGGCTTCTCTGGCTTGAGCCAAGGCCAGGAAATTCCTTCCTTCTCTGGTTTAAAACTGGTTTCTCTGGCTTTACATCTGGCTTTGCTGGCTTGAGCCAAGGCCAGGAAATTCCTCCCTTTTCTGGTTTAAAACCGGCTTCTCTGGCTTTAAATCTGGCTTCTCTGGCTTGAGCTGAGGTCAGGGACCAGAAGCAGGGAAAAGCTGAATAATTTCCGACTCACTTCCTGAGTCGTAACAAAAATGGCAGAAAAAGCTTCGGATTGGCAAAGGGACTTCCAGTTTTTTAAAAAGTGTTGATATCGATTCAAAAAGGTAATTTTAACGAAATTACTACGAGCAACGAGTTATCTGAGCAACTCTATCCATGCCTACTAGGAATGCATTTGCATGGATATGTCAGGTGTCTGTACTGTATAACTCAGCGGGATTCAATATTCACATTTTTCCTTCAGTCGACGTGGCTCAAGCCTAATGGAAGACGACGAGGAGCCAATTGTCGAAGATGTTATGATGTCATCAGAAGGGCGCATTGAGGATCTCAACGAAGGCATGGATTTCGACACCATGGACATAGATCTAGTAAGGAAAATAAGTTGCTTCAGGCTTACCTCAAATGTCTTCCTTAGATGGGCTGTATTACTAAACAATAGGTTGTAGAACACAACTATTATTACACTATGTAACAAATTTTGAAAAAATGTTCTGTTCCTGTTTTGGAAGTATTATTTCCTTTTTAATTGTGTGGTCCTGACTTTGAAAGTTGTTGTTCTCCTCCAGAAATTTCAGTTTTGTGGCAGCTACAAACTAGGTTGAATTGGTTGAGACTTGATGATGAGATACTAATTGCAAAACCATAGCCAAACGTACTATAGCAGTATGTCCCTGCTGCAGAAACAAATGTTTTGCAGTTTAATCAACTTTTTCCTATGTTTTTATGATAAAACCAATGAGGAAATGACATTAATAACTCAGGAACAAAAATAGTGTTATTATTGTTACTGTTACAGGTTTTGTACTGGGTGGGAAAACGGGTAGGCAATTTCTTTTAATCTGGAACCAGCTAAGTAAATAATAAAGGATAAATATGAATGTAATGTGAACCTATCTGGTTTCTTTTCTAGCCACCTTCAAAGAACAGGAGAGAAAGGACAGAGCTCAAGCCGGATTTCTTTGATCCTGCATCAATCATGGACGAGTCTGTAAGTCAGGTGATCTAAAACATTGGGTTAGAATAGTTGGTGGTCACAGGTTTATTGTCTACGTCAGGCATGGGCAAACTTCAGGCCTCTAGGTGTTTTGGACTTTAACTCCCATAATTCCTATCAGTTGTTGGGAATTATGGGAGTTGTAGCCCAAAACACCTGGAGGGCTGAAGTTTGTCCATGTGTGGTCTTTGGCAAGTGCCAAAATGTCTTATTATGCATGCATAACATTTGCTTTAGCTTCCATGAACTCACTTCCCAAGGACATCAGACATGCCCTAACTCTGGCAGTTTTTAGGAGGAGCCTGAAAACGTGGTTGTTCCAGTGTTTCTTTCCAGAATAAGGAAAACTCTCAGCAATATGCCCTCAAAATGCACTTTACCACTGATTTAGGATTGCCTGCACGCCCTAATCTCTCCTTGAAAACCCTATCCCAGTTATATCCTACCTTGTTCATGCCCAGCATTATTTTTTAAATTTTAAATTATTACATTTGGCCCGGCCATAGGTTTTTAAATGCTTGTGTGTCACTGTTATTGTTTATTGTTTATTTTCTGTTTATGACATTTATTTTAACTGTTTTGTATTGATTGTTTTGTTATTGCCTTTGTTTATGGATGTACTGTGGGCTTGCCCTCATGTAAGCCGCACCGAGTCCCTTGGGGAGATGGTAGCGGGGTATAAATAAAGTTGTTATTATTATTATTATTATTATTATTATTATTATTATTATTATTATTATTGGTTTCCTTGACTTAATATATGCATTTACTTAGAACTTTGATGGTCTTTTTTCCATTTATATTATCTTATATATTAAGTTAGGATCTAATAAGCAATCTATGAAGATTTGCCAGTGGACGTTTTGCAGTTTTGGTAAACCGTGACATGCAGCAAGTAGATACATGATGGCCAGAGTCCTTTTCAGAATCATTCATAACCCTATTTGTAAGACATGTACTCTGTTTTTTGACAATTAGTTGCTAAACTTTATTTTGAATTGGAAAAGCTGTGGTTTATGAGTGAAACCACACAGAGGCAGCAGTGAGTCAGTTATTCTACCAAAGTCTCATATGCTGGCTTTGTCTTTCAGTTTTATTTATTTTTATTTATTTATTTACGACATGTATATGCCGCCATTCTCACCCCAAAGGGGACTCAGAGTGGCTTACTCTCTCTCTCTCTCTCTCTCTCTATATATATATATATACACACACACACACACACACACACACACACACATACAATATATTATAGTACAATATCAGTATTAAATGTTACTATATTGTACTATACCATTATATTGTAATATTATTAGTGATATTACATGTAATATAAATATATAATTATAATATATTATTATTGGTATTATATTGCATTACATTATAATACTATAAATATTATATGTGTATACAATACATTATATTATATTATTAGCATAGCACAGGAGACAAGGTTGAACTATCCCCTGGCCCCCCCTCTCTTCACTCTGGCCCAGGTTAGACAACACCCTAACGTTATATGTAGTATAATAATAAATAAACATAAAACTTTATATCTAGACTACTCTCTCTCCCCAGGGGGACTCAGGGTGATGTAAATATTTTAAGAAGGGCAAACATTCAATGCCCAAGCAAATGCAAATACATCAAAGCAATATGACATAATACAAAATAATAACAACAGTAAACTAATTTATTATTTATTTATTTACAATATTTATCATAAAGGTGGTTTGAAGATCTTTTAATTGGGGTTTATTTTTATATGTTGTATTATATATGTATTATATACAAATAATATACAATATTATAATTATATATTTTATATCAAATGTAATATTAATAATATCACAATATAATGGTTTAGTACGCTATAGTAATATATAATACTTATATTGTACTGTGCTAATAATATAATATATTATATGTATGTATATATATTGTGTAAGCCACTCTGAGTCCCCTTTGGGGTGAGAAGGGCGGCACATAAATGTCGCAAATAAATAAATAAATATTAACAGGATATTGCAATATTAATAACAGGATATTATAATAATACCAACTCATATTGCTAAGAGTTTTCCTAGTATTTATTTATTTACTATATTTTTACCCTGCTCTTAGTATTTATTTATTTACTATATTTTTACCCTGCTCTTCTCACCCTGAAGGGGAATCAGAGCAGCTTACAAATTATGGCAAAATTCAGTGTCTCAGTATTCATACAAATACTAAATATAACATTTCACATTATAAACTAGTTAAAACATATTAATGCAATAAAACAGGTTAAAACATAGTTTCCCAATCACCCTTCCCCCACAGGCCAAACTTAAGCCTGTGGTCTTACGCGTTATTAGCAAGGGGTAAGGAGATAAAAAGTGCTAGTATTACAATATAATGGTATAGTACAAAATAGTAATATATAATACTGATATTGTACTATGCTAATAATATAATATATTGTATGTGTGTGTGTGTGTGTGTGTGTATATGTGTGTGTGTGTGTGTGTGTATATATATATATATATATCTTGTAAGCCACTCTGAGTCCCCTTTGGGGTGAGAAGGATGGCACATAAATGTCGCAAATAAATAAATAAATAAATATTAATAACAGGGGGGGAAATTACTTTTAGCTACCTGTCTTTGGCACTGTTATTTGCTGTGGTTCCATATTATCAGTTATATAAGTTTGATAATATTTGTAAAGCTTACGAGGAAAACATAGCACAGTTTCCTTTAATGTATATATCCCCCCCCCCCCCCCCCCGCCTTTTCTCTTCTAGGTTCTTGGAGTCTCGATGTTTTAATGCCAGCCCGGCATGTAACAACTCTGCGGTGAAGTCGTTTTGGAAGAAGAGATTTTCAAAAATAAAAATTGGGGTAGATACAGTCAATATTCTGAACAGGACTTTTTTTCTCTAAGGAGAAGGTGTGCGTAAACAAGATCCAGTGCGCTGATCGAAGGGGCAGTTTTGTTTGCCTGAAACATATAAAGGACAAGTAAACAACTTGAGGATAAGCTATAGTTTCTGTTGGGGATAAAACCAGTATTTTATTTATGTAAGATTACTTTTCTTTTCCAAATCATAGTCAGTGCCGCCATTTTTGGGATTCATAGCTGTTAGGGGAGAGGCTTGAGACGCTTGCAAGCCCCGTCCCTTTAAATAATTATAATCCGTTGGATGTATTCAAATAATGACTTCTTCTTAGACGATTGTGGAAATAACGAAGCGGCTTAATAACACGTCATTTGTAGAATTAGGAGAGAAGCAAAAGCCGGAAGCATTTTTGGTGAGATAGATACTGGTCAATCGCGGTGTCGTTCCAGTTCGGATAATCATGGAAATTAATAACGTGCAAGCTGATTAGTTGACGTCTATTTTAGGATCGTAAAAATAATAAAGACGACACAAAACGTACCCATATTTACTTAACTATGTATTCATACAAGTATCCAGGAACCATGAACTGTTGTCAGGAAGCACTGAGGTCAGTCTCGCTTTACCCATTTAACAACCCTGAGAGTTTGCTTGTCCTTTAAGATACAAAAACAAAAATGTAATGTTGTGAAATTTCCTTCCAGTAGTGCCACTGTATTTTGTCTCCAAATAAAAGAAGCTTATTGTAGTATGTTTGCAGAAAAAAAAATCTAAACGACAAAAAAAATAAATATACAGCTTATTAGAGTGTGGGAATAGGGGGTCTAAATTTTAAATAAAAAAGTATATATATATATAAATTGGTGCTGATTTTATAATTGCGCAGTTTGTTTAGTTTTTTCTTACTTTTAAAAAAATTCCAACTTAAAATAAAAATAATTATGAGGTTTCAGAAATATATTGAAAGTTTAACAATGTTTAAAAAATAAAATAGATGAGCGTGAGGAATTCATGCTCTTAAAAAAATGATTTTTAAATTTGTATTTTATATTGTTTTATCTATCTCTGTCTTTGCAAGCAGTCTTCAGGTTAACGATGATAACTTCTAACAGGTTATATATACAGTACATTTCCTCTGTAATGTAAATTTGAATCAGATGATAAGAAATTCTTCTTTGACATCCCTCCCTCCCCCCTTCCTGTGAAAATATTCTTTGAAAGCTAAAGCTTTAAAACATCAGATTTTGTGATTTTTTTTTGTTTTGGTTTGTTTTTCACGATTCAATCATTCTAAACCAGGCATGGGCGAACTTGGACCATCCAGGTGTTTTGGACTTCAACTCCCACAATTCTTAACAGCCCCAGGCCTCTACCTTTTCCCCTTCAGCTGGGTAAAATCAGCAAGCAGTTTATTTAAGATAATAAAAAGCCAAAGCAATAGAAAGTCATCCACAGTAAAAAGTCATCCAACCAATACAAAAGGAAACAGGAACAAAGAATCCAAAGAAATCCATGAAACTAGGCTCTTGAATTCATGAACAAAACAGAAGCGATAGGCACTTGAGTCCATGAACAGAATAGAGGCGCATTCCATAGAAAAAACATGAGCTAGGTAGACCTTGACGCAGGGAACTTAACGTTAATCTGACGTTGCCTCAACTAAAGCAACGTCTCACAAATCACTTATAAACCCTGCCCTGACTCCAAAACAGCTAGGAATAGATTCTTTCTTAATTTTGCTTTCACAACTTAACTTCTGTTGGGAGTCTGGCTGAGCGTCTTAATTGCTGCCCGAGCTGTCTCTGTTTACTGAAACATCTTTTCCTATTCAAGGTCTCACTCCCCTCATTAACTCCTGCACCTGGGGCCTCGAAATGAACTCAATTCTCAGATAACTGGTCAGAGAACTGCGGTGAAAAGCCTTTCCCAAGCTCGGGGTCTTGAGAATCCTCTTGCAGCAACTTAGGCTTCTGTGACCTGTTTTTAAACTCCATTCAGGCTCTTGTAGCAACTCTGACCTCTCATCCCCAGACCCTGGGCCAGAAGCCGAACCAACATCCTCATTCCCTTCAGGAATGTCAACATGAGCATCATTCCCATTCCCATCATGAAAATCAACATGATTATCAGACACAATCATGGGCTGACATACAACAGCTGAAGAGGGAAAGGAAAGGGCCTGGGGCTGTTAGGAATTGTGGGATTTGAAGTCCAAAACACACATGCATTTGGACATCCACTCTGCAAGGCTTAGGCAGCTAGACATCACTTAACAAAAGGAAGCGTTAACTTATATATTACATAATGTCTCTTTCTTTCTCTCTTTTCGTCAGTTGTCTCTTCAGTTCTCAAGGTATATTATTATTATTATTTCCTAATCATTCCATGCGCCTTAAAATACGCTCGCAATACAATGTTCTTCCAACAAACTTAAACATTTTTTGAAAGCCTCTTCCTTTGTCTGAAATCAGAACCAACAAATGGGTCGCTGTTTAGTTTTCCGGGATGTGTGCCATGTTCCAGAAGCATTCTCTCCTGACATTTCGCCCACGTCTATGGCAGGCATACTCAGAGGTGGTGAGGTTTGTTGGAAAGTAGGCAAGTGGGGTTTATATATCTGTGGAATAATGTCCAGGGTGGGAGAAAGAACTCTTGTCTGTTGGAGGCAAGTGTGAATGCTGCTATTGGCCACCTTGATTAGCATTGGATGGCCTTACAGCTGTAAAGTCAACCAGTGAGGGTATCTGCTTAGAGGTCTGTTGGAAGTAAGGCAAGTGGACTGTATACTTATCTGTGGAATAATGTCCAGAGTGGGAGAAAGAACTCTTGTCTGCTTGAGGCAAGTGTGAATATTGCAATTGGCCACCTTGATTAGCACTGAATAGCCTTGTAGCTTCAAAGCCTGGCTGCTTCTTGCTCGGGAAACAGTCAGGGCCAAGTAACATCTCCCATTACTGTGCAAAATCAGAAGAGTAAATAAAGAACAACACTAAAAAAACAGGGGAATTCCAGACAGGAAACAATCAGGGCTAGCTAACAGCTCCCAACAAAGGATTCCCTCAGGCAGGAGGCAGCCAGGCTTTGAGGCTGCAATATATAATAAGATAACTTTATTCTATTCCACTCTATCTTCCTGCAGGGACTCAGGATGGATTCCATCATACAGTGGCATACATTCAATGCCTTCCTAAAACAGACAGACAGTGACATAAAATCTCATAGAGACCCCACATATGAAAGCAGCGTTAAAAACCTAACATCAAATTAAACCTAATATCAGTGAGTTAAACATGACATCAGTAAATAAAACCAACAGAGTCAGACAAGAGTTATATCGTGGCATAAATATCAAATCCACATTAATTTACAAAGCCAACAGAAGTTCAACAAAGTTGTGTGGGTTGGATTATGTGGCCTAGGATTGTAAATTGAGTTTACAATAATACAAAGTATTATTAGAGAATACAGAAATGCTGGACCACCATGTCAGACTATACAGAAAAGCCACTGAAATCCACAAGTATGTGGATAATTTCAACAGAAAAGAAGAAACCATGAAAATGAACAAAATCTGGCTTCCGATTATTAAATAACTCTAAAATCAGGACAGTAAATAAAGAGCAACACTCAAAAAAGAGGGGAATTCCAGACAAGAAATAATCAGGGCCAGCTAACACATCCCAATAAAGGATTCCAGGTAACATCTCCCAACCAGGGGTCCCCCCAGGCATGAAACAGCCAGGCCTTGAAGCTGCAAGGCCATTCAGTGATCATCAAGGTGGCCAATTGCAACATTCACACTTGCTTCCAACAGACAAAGAGTTCTTTCTCCCGCCCTGGACATTATTCCACAGATATATCGACCCCATTTTCCTAGTTTCCAACAGACCTCACAACCTCTGAGGATGCCTGTGAGGCAAGAGGGGCTGATAGGTATCCCTAATGTCCAAGGTGGGAGAAAGAACGAACCTTTGTCTGCTTGAGGCAAGTGTGAATGTTACAGTTGGCCACCTGGATTAGCATTGAATGGCCTTACAGCTTCAAAGCCCGGCTGCTTCCTGCCTGGGGGAATCCTTTGTTGGGACCTGTTAGCTAGCTCTGATTGTTTCCTGTCTGGAATCCCCCTGTTTTCAATGCTAATCAAGATAGGCCAATGGCAACATCCACATCTACCACAAACAGACAAGAGTTCTTCCTTTCTCCCACCCTGGAGTGGACATCATTCCACAGAGAAACTGCAAGTCGCTTCTGGTGTGAGAGAATCAGCTGTTTTCAGGGGCGTTGCCCAAAGAACGCCTGGATGTTTTGGCATCCTGTGGGAGGCTTATTTCATGTCTCATGGGAAGCTGGAGCTGACAGATGGGAGCTCACCCCATCTCATGGGAGACCCCGGTGGCACAGTGGGTTAAAACCCTGTGCCAGCAGGACTGAAGACCAGTGAAGGTATCTGCTTAGAGGTCTGTTGGAAGTAAGGCAAGTGGACTGTATACGTATCTGTGGAATAATGTCCAGAGTGGGAGAAAGAACTCTTGTCTGTTGGAGGCAAGTGTGAATATTGCAATTGGCCACCTTGATTAGCACTGAATAGCCTTCTAGCTTCAAAGCCTGGCTGCTTCCTGCTCGGGGAAACAGTCAGGGCCAGCTAACAACTCCCATTACTGTACAAAATCAGAACAGTAAATAAAGAACAACAGATGAGCTCCCTCTATCTGTTCCAGCTCCTCATGCGGGGATATGAGAAGCCTCCCACAAGGATGATAAAAACATCAATTCATCCGGGCGTCCTCTGGGCAACGTCCTTGCAGACGGCCAATTCTCTCACACCAGAAGCGACTTGCAGTTTCTCAAGTCGCTCCTGACACGACAAAAAAAAAATTCTCATTTTCCTAGTTTGCAACAGACCTCACAACCTCGGAGGATGCCTGCCATAGATGTGGGTGAAACGTCAGGAGAGAATGCTTCTGGAACATGACCGTACAGCCCAGAAAACTCACTGCAACCCAGTGGTTCCGGCCATGACAAAACCAACAAACTTTGGGCTGCGGTAGCCATAAACCATGCGTTCTGTATAGAATCATGAAAACGACAAAACTATATTTTGGGAAAAAAACAAATAAATCATGGGTTCCCCAAAACAGAGAGCCTGATCTGCCTATAAGTTCCGTTTTGCATTGAGAGTCATGTCTGAAAATACTGCCTATTCTATATCATTTCCCTCCCTCCTTTGACGCCACTGCATCGAAATAGAACTGCTGAGAGGACTGTATATATGATTTTAAACTTAAGTTGATTCCCCCCCCGCTCCCCGCGCCACCCCCTTTTCCTCTTGGAAGGAGCGTTTTCTTTGTGGAAAAGCAGTTCTTGCCGCTTTTATGTTTTCAGACTCAAAACAAACAAAACAAAACAAACGACGTTTTATATATTTACCTTTAACCTGTCGTCCTCCACATTCTCTTTGTCCTAATTGTACTGTTTTCTGATTTGTATTTATGTCTTGAGACAAGTAACTTTTTGAATAAAAATAAACCTACAGTATGTTGTAAGTTTGATCTTTTTGAATCAAAAGGGTAGAGGAAGAAAAATTTTGAAAAAAAGGAGTGTGAATGGTGCAAAATGTTATGTTTATAAGAAGAAGATAGAAGAAAAAAATTAAAAAGCTTTTTCCATGTCTCTTTTAAGTGTTTGTCTCAGACTTGGGATAATGTATGGAAAACTGCACTGTTTTATATTTGTAATAAATTGTACAAGTTTTTAAAATGTGAATAAAGCACTAATTGGGTTAATAATTTAA